AACAGTCTAATTGTACAAATACACAAAAAATTTAATTTTTTGTGTATTTGTTGTAATGTTTTATGTATTTATTGTAATGTTTTATGTATGTGTTGTAATGTATTATGTATTTGTTGGTAAGCGTGTTGAGTCTCCCATCCGAGAAATAGGTATTGGCGACCCGCACGCATGCTAAAGGTAAAGAAGCTAAGGGGCCGCCTGAAAATCAGCGCTATATAAGTACATCTCGCTGGAACTATACATATATAGCAACAGCTGAGACGGCTCCTATTACCAGCAACATTAATTGTTCTTTTTTTCTTTTTGTTGTTTTAATATTTATTTTCTTAGTAATGGTAATAAATGTCATCTATCTATCTATCTATCTAACTGTTCCTCCTGGAAACCATCGTGGTTAATTCTAGTGGAATTCGTCACGATATGCTAACTGACCTGCTTTCATTGTCACCTATTATTACTGGTGCCCCGCCAGCGTATACAGCGCGGGTGGGGTTACCATTGCATCTTCACCCATTTAAAAAAGGCCATCTGATGGTAAACGATTAAGATGAGTTAGCTTATGGATACCTGCAAGACACGTGAAAGAAACCCTAAAGAAACCTTAACATACCTTTTCTGAAAAACCCCATTTTACAACCTGAGCGTTCACGGGAGAAAATTCCTTTGAAACCGCACTGTACGTACCGCAACTATCGTTGGGCCAACTAACCTGCTTTCATCTTTATCTGTCATCTGACACTGGAGCCCTGCCAGTGTATACTAATAGCACAGGCGGGTTACCATTCAATTTTCATTTATTAAAATAAACCGATTGGCATGAAGTTTTTTTGGATCACTTATTTACTTTCTATTAAGTATGTCGATTAAAATCCAGTCCAGTTTACTTATTGGTTGCGGTTTTGAGGTCTTAACAGAGGCCGTGTAACGCAATATGTGTGTGCTACTTAAAAGACTTCATTATAGATAGGTCAACACTTAAGGTCTATACTTACATACAGGTTTAATCATGAAAAGCTTAATCATATCAGGCGTTAACTGTCTTCTGAACATAAGCCTTCCCCAGAAGGGGAGTTTAGTTTAGTTACCATGCTTGGGAGACGGGTTGCAACTGCACTTTAGGTTTTAGGGATATTTTAAAATGGGCGCTACTGCCCATCTCTCTATCATTAACTAATCTAAAATCTTAGAGAAGTAGCACTAGAAACATCACATTATACACTGTGATGGAAGCTCTTTATAAAATAGGTCACACTTTGCCATTTCTAAAGACTAAGGTGTGTGGTCATCTTCTTTACACTACACTACATCCATAAATAATATGTAGGGCCACTGAAAGTTTTGGGTAGATACTCTTTATTGTTTCCTCCAAAAGATTACATAAACATTAAGTAAACTTGTTATACACTTGTTAAACATATACTTGTTAAACAAATAATTAAAAAAAAAAAGATTACACTGAGAAAACAAAGGACGTCTTTATCGCTAAGAGCGGTCTCTTTCAGGTAACCTTCATCCACGATGAATAATTGCGTAATTTATGAATAAAATAACTTTAAATTAAAATTGTTTTTTTAAGTACTCTATTTTACATTTCGATACATACTTTATTTTTCACTACCAGAGGGAGACTTTGTAAAAATTGTTTGCTTGGGCACCTCTGTCCCATTCGTGTTTCAACCGTAAAGCAGTTGTGTTTGTATGGCTGTGTTACGGTTTGAAGGGTGGGATATGGCGTGAATTCACAGGGTACAGAGGAATAACACCTGAGACCTCAGGAATGGTAACGCATGGGGGTATTATGGGCGAAATAATATACTCTGTTATGTCCATGGTACTTCTCATGTCTATAGCGACTGTTATCACTTTCCATCAGGTGGACCGTCAGCTTGTTTGCCACTCTAAGTTGTATAAAAAAAACCATTTCGAACATTTTTTTATTCAATCGAACCACTTTTTAAAACACAAACACTATTCGTCTAAGGGGTTTTTTTTTATAGACGAAGATGAATTGATGTACCTGCCTGTGCCAATGGTATAATGATGGGATTACAGTGAAAGATGAAACGATGAAGGCAAAGTCAGGCCAATTGACGCATTATGGTAAATTCACCAGAAATTAATTACAATTATTATCTAGGGGGACAGGAGGAGGTCGACCTGATAGAGTATATTGCTAGCAGTGGAGACTAACAATCCTTTTCTTTTCTCTGAGAGTATGTTTCTTTTTAAGAATAATTTTGAAATGGTGACTCATCTGCTCTATCGACATATGCTGGCGGAGTACCAGTGAGAGATGATAGATGCGGATGAAAGTAGACCAGTTAGCTCATCGTGAGGAATTAAATAAAAATTAACCACGATGGTTTCCAGGGGAAACAACAAGGAGGTCAATCTGATAAGGTATATTACTAGCAATGGGGCCGCTAGTCCTCGTTACTATCAATCCTTTCTTACTCTTTAGGACAGTGGATAAACATAATTAAATTGTGTTCCACAAAATAAATTGACTTCAATTATAGTAAAAACCGTTATTTTTATTTCAAAACTAAACTACTGAATGAATTATGATACAATTTCTAAAAATACAGTTTCCAAATTAGTTTATAATTGACGTACTCATGAGGGAACAAACATAAAAAAACAACTGAATTAAAAACCTCCCTTCTTTTTGAAGTCGGTTGAAAAAGTGGTGTATCACACTGCATTAAGTAGAATTGTGTAAACGATTCCCATACAGGAGAAAATAACGGAAATTTAATGTAATTTATGTAATTACCTAGTGGTTTTATTTATTTTTTACCCATATAATAATAATTTATCATAATTTTTGTCTATTCTCTTATATTGTACAACTTTGTAAAGAACACAAACTAGCAAGAAACATTGCGATTGTGCGAGTTATAATTCATTCAGGAAAAAATCGCGTATTAATTGTTACTTCACATGCATATGTAATAATAATATGTAACGAATGGTGTTTGAATGGAAATTATCTTTAATTACAAAATAATAAACAAAAACAACAAATTACGACTTCAGCGCCAACTTGTTTTGCTTGTCTAATTTTGTTAAGTGAAACATTGCTCAGAAATTTTTCGTGTTACATTATTCATTTAATAAATAATAATAATAATAAAAAAATACCCATTATGCCATTAACAAACCACTCGACGAACTACATTTTTATAATAATAAAATTGATTGTCGAATTTTTCCAGCCATTTTTTTTAATAACTAAGATTTGTTTTTAAATAGATATCATTTGAAATTCAAATAGTTGCGATAAGCTATAAGTGCAAAACATTATTATTCCCAATGCTCATTAGCCGAATCAAAGCCATATAGCTACTTAGCGGCAGGAACATGAGTAGCTCAGAGGTACATAATTTCAGGCATACTTTTGTACAAAATTTAAACCTCTGTATAGAGACTAGGCGTATTTTTAGGGGATAAAAAGTAAGGTGACCAACTATTTTTTGTTCAAAAAGAGTACACTTTGCACGTATTTCATAGGTGAAAAAAAACGATAAAAACTTTATTTTTTTTAAAAAACATGTTTTTCTTCGGAGTGGATTTATTTTTGCTAAATGAGGATATTCGTCTAATAATATAGCCACATCCGAACAATTTACATTTTGTATATTAAATTTGACTGTTAGGACGGCAGATAATGTTTTTACAGAAAGTTGCGAATTCTCACTGCTTCAATAATCATTCCCTGGTGAAAGTGCCCTTTTAACAGCAGCATTAGCGCCTGGACAACATAAGGAAATTTCTATTAAACCCTTATTTTTCATGTGGAATATGTTCTACTGAAACTCTAATGAAATTCAAATCATTTTCAAAATAATTTTAAATATTAATTAAGAAAATTGAAATAAAATAATCTAAAAAATGTTTTAGAAATACAAATGAGTATAAAATTATACAAATGAGTACTTTCAGAGTACTACAGGATTTGAAATGAGTACGGTTTGCGAATAAAAGTACAAAACTCAGTAAATGAGTATAGTTAGTCACCTTATAAAAAGGGATCGTTACACAAGTATATGTCAATTATATATGTACGGAAAAGCGAAATAAAAAGAAAAGGGTGAATTCGGGACAATTAGTCCATCGTACACTATTTGAAAGAAATTAACAGCGATGGTTCGTGTGGAAACTAATGCACAATATACAATTTATTCCATATATTCTTATGTCCCCTAATCATTAGATGAAGTTAAATTATAGTTTGAGGATAGCATCTGGGGTTTTTTTTTAATTAAATGCAGCGTCATTGACGAATAGTATCAAAAAATAAAAAGAAAACAAATTCGTAACAGTAATTTTATTTTCTAAATCGCTCGAAAGAGGATTAAATAGCACAATGATCACTTGCTCGTTGCTTTTACAACTATTCCTAATTTATATGCTTTTACGTATTACGAAAATTAAAACTGACAATAAATACGCAAATTTCAAAATAATGAGGAACCGTAGTAAGCAAAAATATTTATTAATTTGATTTCAGAACGCAATTGTAAAATTTTTATATATTAGGCTGTCAAAATTGATGAAGTTTGTTCGTAATAGTGTTGCCAAATAAGACCATTTAGTCTAATTTGTTTTTTTTTCACCTTATCCATCACCGTGTGTTATAATTTAGCAGACTGTTAAAACTAATTTATATGATTATATGTAATGTATGCAAAGTATAGTTGATGTATTTCAGTTTTGAATGCTAGTTTTAATAACTAAAATATTATATATTTTTCTTTTTATTTTAAATAGCGGATATCACTAACAAATTTATTCCCAAGGAGAGTTAATATCAGGTAAGAGGGTAGTCGTAACACTAAAAGCCAAAAACCTTGTGTTATAAAAATCGTATTACGTCACTTCAAATAATTGTGATAGGAGCCGTGATCATGATAGATTAAACTAGTCTTTATATTTCAGTTTAGCCCGGAAACTTGTTGTCGAAATGGCAACACAGACTTACACTCGCTACAAGAACGCCACCATGTAGTTAATTAGGTAATTTATAAATCTATTTCATCAAATGTCATTACTCCTGTTTGTGTTTTGAACTTTTTACTATAAGGAAAACTTAGAAAAAAATGTATATCTACGATTTACCGTATGATGTTAATAAGAAATTGTGCAGATTGTTGGACAATGATGACGACTGGAAAGAATTGGCTGGTGTACACATGAAATACACAGCTTTTGAAGTAAACGTGAGTATCTTTAAAATGTACCGTGGGCTTTCCCATTACCAATTACGTTACAATCCATTTCTGGGAAATACCCACACAATAATAAGTATTCTAAAAGTGTAATAGTTTCTAATTATTTTATCTAATAATTTATATTTATGTACTATTTAAATTTATATTTCAGTTATTTACTCTATATAAATATTATTCATAACTATTTTACCATCTTTTTTTAATACGTATAATTACAAATTTTGATAATAACTATTATTATATTTATATATTTTTGTGCAGTCTGGTAATAAAAATGTGCCCAGATGATATATCTCTTTTTCAATCGAAGCTAGTTATGCATCTATGTAATGAAAAGTAGGTACAAACCGAGTCTTCAAATAAGAGAATGTCACAGACCATAGTATACTACCCTGGCTTATAATAACTATGTTAAACTATTTTGTGATGAAAAAGCAATAAGACGCTAAGGTAGTCTGAGAAATAGTGGTAGGCTTACCTTACCATATTGGTTGTGTTGTTGTGGGCATGTCAAATGTTATATTCACCATAACAGAAATCAACATGTCTAGTATTCGTGCCTGTCTGGAGGAATCATTAGTAATAAAGGCTTCTTGCCCCATTACTAGCAATATATGTTTTCTAATATATACCTCTACATTGCCCATCTTGGAAATTATTGTTATTATTCTTGGTAAATTTTTTTTGTTTGCAATACCAGTGATGTCACGTGCACATTGCCGATCTTGAAGAAACCTTAGTATACCCCTTTTGAAGAACCCCATACTGTAGTCTCTAGGGAAAACCTTTGCACACCCTACTTTATGCAATTTTTTTTAATAAATACATCCTTTGTATATTACCAAAAATGCAGATTTCTATTAGTGAAAGAATTTTAAAATTGTTTAAGTATTTACTAAGTTTATAGTCAGTGGATACCCTTGAGTTTATCAACATAACATTTTTATCTATCACACTGCAACTTTTAAATCTCACTATTTATCTTAGAGGAACAAATATTTTATACTAGCTGTTTCCTATGATTTTACCTGTTTTAACTGCTATGTGTTAACTTAGGATTTTAATCTTATTATGTATCAAGGTTTAGTCAAGTCCATTCAGCCATTTATTATACTGTGATTAAGTAATAAATGTCCAAACATTAATAGGATTGCCTCCAGTTTAATGCAACATACACAAAAATTTTAAATCTAGGAGATAAAATAAAAAAGTAACTTTATATATGTAACCAGTGTAAGTATACAGAACAAACAAACTGAGGAACAAAATTCTTAAAATAATTGTTTTTTTTTGGGAATTGATATTAGGAATCTTAATAAAATTAAAAATTTCCCATAATACCCCTGGTATTGCAGGCATTCATACGCTACGGTAACCACTTGCACCAAGTGGGCATATGGGCCACCTGATGGTAACCGGTTACTGTAGCCGTAGGTAGGTTCTTTGCCACTTCAATGGTATAAATATATATATGTATATATATTAAAAAAATATATTAAAATATTTCTTGATTGTTTAGTAAACTTGAAAATGATTTTGATTCTATGGCATGGCTTATCATTACCAAAATTAGAATTCCCAAATTAGTAAGAGCACCAAAAAATCTGTGACACGATAAGATTTAACTTTGAATAACAACAAAAATCATTAGTGCGGTCTTTTAGCGGTTTTTATCGTTTTTTTTTTATCAATTTGAAGGAAACATTAAATTAACCTGAATAGAAGAAAAATCTTGTAGCAATAAGCTTCATAAATGTCTAACTTTTTGCAATATTTTGAAATTATTAGATATAAAAACCCATGGCTTACTGTTCCTGATCCTGTAATATTTATATGATTACCTGAACCACAACATAGAATACTTTGTAATATGTGAAAATGTGTTTAACAAGCTTTTACCGTAACTTTGTCCATGTGACAGGAATGTTCATTGTTCAGGACAAAAGTTAGCATTTATCTTTGTGTTTTCATATAGTACTTAACTACTGAGACTTAAAAAATTAATTTTTAAATAAATTATCATTTAATATCATTAAAGATTTTATTGGGATTATATTTATTCGAACAAGCGAAATTGATGCGGAAAAAGTCGCAGCATCTCTATACTAATATTATAATAAGAAATGATTTGATTGCTTGTTTTAATGGATAAAGGTTATGGCAGAAAAGCTCTTGAGTGGCGACCCCGTATGAGCAAACGCAATGTAGGACGACCCTCACCCACTAGATGGAGTGATGACCTTAAATGCAAGGGAGCCAGTGGATACAGGTGGCTCAAGACCGTTCTTTATAACAGTCTATGGGGGAGACCTATGTTCAACAGTAGACGGATAATGGCTGAGATGATGATGATGATGAATGCGTAAACACAAAAATTATTCAACCATTTCTATAAGCTCTCTCATCTATAGAAAACTATACAGGAGCTTTTACTCCTTATTCACGCTTCCTTTATGCGCGTTTTCACTATTTGCGGATTAAAAAATTGTGACCCAATTCCTATATTCGTGGCTAAAGATTTCTATATTCGCGGATCTAATCGGTACATATTATTAAAAAGGATTAGGTATCCTTTGTAAACGTGTCGGCACAGATTGATAAAAAAGTAAAACAGATTTTATTACAACTACGCCTAAAATATGTTGTCAAATACTAACGCCACTGTATAAGTGTTTCGGCTGTCCATATTCACGGTTTCTGTATTCGCGGCGAATTTACGGAACGTATACCCTAATAAAGATCTTTTTTATCAGCGGTTAACATCAGCGATATATTTTATTTTAGAAAATTCGATCTACCCGTGTGAAGCCGGATCGAATCGCTAGTTGATAATAAAACAGCAAAATGTTTATAAATATAGGACACAATGAACGACTGACTCAGTCGGAGTGACGATCCACGGGCCGCTTCAAATTTTTCCTCAACCACTATAACCAGTTTTTGTTACTTATACAAAAAATATTCATTATTTTAATATTGTCTCTAATATACCGTACAACTCTATGGTTACGAGGTCAGTCACAAATTTTATTTAAATATACGCATATCATAAAATTAATACTATATTATGGGGGATATACTAATACTATATTATGGATTGTTAGTAATGGAGACTAAAAATCCCATTGCTAGCAATATACCCAACTAGGTCGACCTCCTCGCGGTTCCCCCTGGAAACTATCATGGTTAATTCCTGATGAATTCATCATGATGGGCTAACTGGCCATTTTCATTCTCATCTATCACCCTTCACTGGTGCTCCGCCAGCGTATCCCTTTAGCGCAGGCGGGGTTACCATACCATTTAATCCACCAAAAAAAATTGTATTACGAGATTGTAATTTATAATATGTGAAAATTTGTTTAAATATGTTACTCAATCACGCTCGATGAACAAAACGCTGAACAAAATTTAGTAAACAAATATCTATTAGAATGTATTTATACTAATTTACGCGCTTAATTTTATTTATTATCTTTACTTATACTTTATTGTACATAAAAATTACATTGTTTTAATTTATTTTCAATAAAAATGTAAAGGCGAGCTTAACTCTGTAAGCCAACTCTATTATAGTTTGTTCTTTTTTTTAATACTTTAAAATGCAATGGTAACTCTGCCTGCGCTATTGGTTTACGCTAACCGAGACGATAGATCGACAGCGTAAATTTACTACTATCCTTTTAAATGTTCTGCCAGTGAAAATTTAAGTTTTCCAAAGGAGTGTCTTTAAAAAATGCGAAAAAAAGTTGTACTATGTTTTATAGTAATACGATGCATCGTCTCGTATAGGGACTCAAAATTTTTATTCGTTTTCACTATCTTTATATAGCTAATTTAGTTTTAAGAAAAAAATTTCAAATAATTTAAACAATATTGAGTAAATTACTGCTTTTTTAGGAAATAGAGCAGTCGGCGCGCCGGCTGGCTTCCTCGCCTACCGCTTTATTATTGACCCGTTGGGGCCAACTGAACCATCGAGTGGAAGAGTTGTACATATTATTATATCATATGAAACACGTGCCCGCGATGCAGTCGCTCACGCCAGCAGTGGACGCGAGATATCAAACTCTTTTGAGGAAGCTGATTACAAAGAACGGTATAGGAGGGAAGGACAGCACAGCGTTTGTTGGTACGTATCTATACTATTAAAAATATTCCTTCGTATTTCTTCTTAAAAGGCCGGTAAAACCAGCAGTTCCTCTGGTGTTACAGATGTTAATTGGCGGCGTTAGTCAACAGTAGATGAATCGTTTGCCCCTTATGTTATATATAAAAAAAAGATTGTTTTATGCTGCTTTATTGGCAAACAAGCATACGGCCTGTCTGATGGTAATGCTCACGAATATAATCTCTAACAGAATAGTCGGAGACATTCGTCGACTCTTAACGTTCACTAGAATTTTAGTCGTAAATTTGAATTGACAGTTTTGGATGTAACGTGCGGTAAAGGTACTTACTATTTTATATTAGAACTAAATAGATGCCATATTTTTACAGACGATGCGAAAAAACAGAAATTGAAAACAGATGAGTCATCAATACCACTGCCAGTTTTTGAAAAGGTAACTCATTATTATTAATTACAAATATTTTTAGGATCTTTTTTATGAGTGAACATTATTTATAGGAGTATAATATCCTATTAAATCTGGCGGAGGGAATTTTTCATAATGGAGATTACTAGCCCCATCTGTAGAAATGTATTCTATGAAGTCTGTCTCCACTTGTGATAGCGCTTGTGAAATCCATTGCCATCTATTAACCACATAAGCATCTCGAACGAGACCCTCTCACGCATCAAATGTATTCTGATTTGCGCTATCCCGAGTACATCTCGCCACTTATAAATATTATGTTTATATTTTTATCTGAAGCAATACCTTCTCGTCCATTTGTATTTCATAGAGCTTAGTGTATATTCATTGTATGGCTGTTCGAATTTAGTGCGTGCGCCAGTGGACCTCATTTCACAGAAAAACCCTCGCATTAAGTGGTTAAAGGAAACCCCTATGAATTAGGTCCAATATATATTTTATAGTCATAAATTTTGGGTGGAAATGATAAATAATGTCTGAACTATCATGCTATTGTGATCCTAAAGTACTAATATTAAAATGTGAACGTTTCTGTATGGGTTTGGACCTTTATTCCTCAAAAATAAACAAATATCCAAACAGATTTGTATTAAAGTACACATATAGACCATGTCCTAGATTAAATTTTAAGAGAGTTTTTATCCTAATATCAAGTGAAAAATGTAGTAATATTTTCTGATTGTATTGACTGTATAGGTAGTCTTAACAAGGTAAATATTATCACAAAAAAAAAATAGTATTTTCTTGCTTTCCTTAAACGACAGAGCTTATAGATGACGCATTTTATCCATTCGTAACATCCAATGACTCATGCCTAATTTGAAATGCTAATAAACTATTATTTTTTATTAACAATGCTAAGATTTTTATCATATAAAATTCCTTCAATTGTTTTAGTTCGAGTATATATATATATATATATATATATATATATATATATATATATATATATATATATATATATATATATATATATATATATATATATATATATATGGATATAATAAGTATATTTATTTGTTCTAAGTAAACTAGAAGAGCATGTTTTGATTATAAAAAAATTAGCTTAAAGCTCAAAATAGATCTGGAAATAAAATTTTAACAAGATCTATTGCGGGTGCTGGTTTTTTATTATAGCTTTCTTTTAAGGGACCGTTCTACCAGAAAACTGGGCATATTTTCCAAAGAAACGAGACTCGAAAAACAATCATTTTTGTTTTCTATACTTATTCAACGCGTCCAATTTTCAAGTTAGTACAGTAAACAAAATAATATCTATGCTTCAGACTAGTTATGAATGTAATGAATCTATTGTTTAATATTATCTATTGTTTTGGAGTAGAGACCTTCGGCACTTCGTTCCCTCTGCCTACCCCCCCAATGAACTTGTCGTAATAATGTATAAAATATAACCAAACTATACAAACTTATATGCAATATTATTTTGATGTATGACTATATTAACATACAGCTACGATTGTTACTAATTATTAATTGCATATATAATTACAACAGTATTGCCAAATGCCAATAGAAAAATAGATTAAAATGTACTAAAGACCGACCCCGACTTCTCATGAATTATATATTTATACAAAAGTTTAGTTAGGTTTTTTTTACAAAAGATTTGTACGTACAATATATCCTAATTAAACTTCATGTTAGATGTCATGACTTCATGATGTATGTCAGAAAATATTACTTCAATTTCATATGAAAGTAAAATTATTGAGGTGTAGAAGGAGAAACAGACAGACAGCGACTTTGTTTTTTTATATTATTTTTATATGCTATAGAGAAACTATGTCACAATAATACAATTATTTCTAAGAAGGTATAATTTTTCCTGTTCAGGGTATTCATGTCAACCAAGCACCGCCGACATCAAGCAATGGATTGAATGGCAACTCACCTACTGATGACTCAACCAGCGATCTAAGTAAGGTAAGCTTTTGCGGTTTTATACATACAATTAATAATATATAACATACTATATATAATAGGTATATCATCATTCCATTTATATTAATATGACACTACATAAAAGTTGTATGTTTAGGTACCTCTACTCGTCTAGTGTTTTAAATGTGCCTTTAAGCAGCTATGTTTTGGGTGATAATGAAATGGTAACCCTGCCTACGCTATTGGTATGTGCTGGCGGGGCACCAGTGAAGGATGATAGATGAAGATGAAACAGGTCAGTTGGCCCATCGTGACAAATTCCACAAGAATTAAATTCTCAGGGAAAACCGCGTGGAAGTCGACCTGATAGGGTGTATTGCTAGTAATGGGGGAATTAGAGCCTACTACTAACAGTTCCATTCCCCCAAGCAGCTATGTTTTTTTAATGGATGATAATGAAATGGTAACCCTGCCTGCACTATCGGTATACACTGGCGGGGCACCATTGAGGGATAATTGGTGAGGATAAAAAGGCAGATCAGTTAGCCCATCATGACTAATTCAACGATGAATTAGTCACGATAGTTTCCAGGGGGAACCGCGTGGAGGTCGACCCTATAGGACATATTGATAGCAATAGGGACTAATCGCCCCATTACTAACAATCCCTTCACCCAAGCAACTATGTTTGCATGTCAGCTTTTTCTACTAAGGAGTGAGATATGACAGTGAAATTACTGGATACATAGGAATAGTATTTTAGTCAAGGGGGAGGATATTTTTAGTAATGGGGTCAAATCACTTATTATCCTTTATTGGTGGCCCACTAGCATATATTGATAGTACAACCGAGTTACTCTTATATTTTTAACTAAAAAATTTCTAAGTCTAAAAAAAATCACGCGTGAGAGGCACCTTATGTATCATAATGGATCCTGTAATGTCGACAATAGATTGCATTGATATTAGATTTAAGAGTACGCCTGTACGGAATGAAATTTTATCTTAGGAGAACGGGCAAGAAACTCGGCTGTTATTTTTGTTGCTGCAAAACAGCGATTTTTAAACTTTTTAGCTGACGACTCGATTTATAAATATATTTGAAGCCCGTGACTCAAAATGTTTCATTTATCACTTTTCAATGGTAATAAAATGATGGGATTAACTAAGAGCCTGGGGTTTACTATAATTAATATCTTGTAAAATATTAAAAATAAAACAAACTTCCTAATTTTTAGTGTAAAAAAATGTTGTGAAATTAAATTTCACCATTTCTTATAATGCATTTGGAAAATGCATGCCACCCATCACCATACTGTTTGCGACGTCTGCTGTAAAATATGATCATTCTAATGTATAATTTAAAGTTTTATGAAATTTATATTTAATTCGATACATCATTGTAATTTTACAGACAGTATCCTCGACGCAAGATGACAGGGCCAATGACGTGAAGGATGAAATTATGCGAAACGTGCTCACGATACCGATGCTTAAGTACGACGACTTGAAGGCGGCAACCGACAACTGGAGTGACGCCAACTTGCTAGGACGCGGTGGATTTGGACAAGTATTTAAAGGTATCACCAGAAATTTGTCTTTTTAAAAGTTTTTTTTTTTTAATGTCAAAATGGGTTTGTGATAAGATAAACTGGTGATAAGATCTAGGATGGAGCACACTTAGCAAAAGTTATTTTTCACCGTCGACTTAGAGTCAAATTTGTATTTCTCCAGAAATACAAGAAGGAAGGACATTTCATTCCTCAGCAGTTCCCATTAAAATATCGCTTCATGCGTGTCTGTGGCATTTGACTGCACAGTAAAACAATGCTAAATGGATTTCAAATCTAAACTGTTGAAATTTCTAATTCATATTTGCATTAAATAAAAAGTGAACGTTACTTGTTTTGTGCTTCGGAGGCACGTAAAAACTGATCCGGTATGCCGTGTCGGAATCCTTCATACATAACGATGTCGCTTTAGAAACTGTTGTTACAAGAGAGCGACCATTAAGTATAGGTAATATATAGTAATATCTATATATTTTATTTACAATTTTTATTACATTGGTCCAATAATAAATATATTAAATATCGATTATCCAGTATATAATAATGAAATGGAGCATAGTAAATAGAACCGATATATACAACATGACCTTTTTTCCACCATCAATGTCCAGACAGACCCAATATATAGATATCGGAGCGGTACAATATTACGGATGCCTACGCGACATTTACATGAGTAGCAGTATATATATATATATATAGTAATATTATACTAAGTTGTTAATATCTAAGGATCCTATAAAAAAATCTTCAATTTTGACAAAACCAGTTATTTTGTTCTAAAAACTAACCTACAGAACTAATTGTTATAAAATTTCTATGCTACCAATCTGTAGCCATATCCTTCCAGATTAAAAAGAATTTTTTAAATCTCTTTGTTTCATTCTTTTTAAAGTGAGTTGTAAAAAGAACACCGAAATAATCATAGTTCTGTTAACAGGTGTGTGGCTGAACTCGTTGGTGGCAATCAAACGTCTCCGCGACACAGACGCCCGGAACCGCGAATTGATACGAGAGCTGTGTCTCAACCAATACCGCCATGATAACATATTACCTCTCTACGGTTATAGTTTTGGAGGTAAGTGCTTATAAATTCTCTGTATTTATCATCGACACGTTATCAGAATCAAAACCAAGCCGTCATCTTCCTACCCTTATCCCAATTATTATTTGGGGTCGGCTTAATATGTTATAATTCATATTACAAAAAGATTTGCCTTAGTTTTACGATTTGCCGCTTGTCTGACGTCAACCCTTTTTGGGAATGCATTTGTTGGTGACTTCTGCTACCAGTGCATGGAGGAAGGGATTTAGAAGAAAATGAAGGGAAAGAAGCCTTTTTGAAGCCTGTTGAAATTTATACAATGATATTATAAGAAAAAAAGGCATTTACCTTATAAACGCGTTAAACGTAAAACTTATTATAAATTTTTGTAGACTAAATACAGTTTAACATTTGCATACCTCTGCGGGGTGCTGCATATAATGTACCTGTATATGTAACTTCTTATTGTACCATGTAGCAAGCGAATAAATATGATTTTGATTTTTTTTTTTGGATATATTATAAATTATATTATACAATGATATACCTAAGAAAGGTAAATACCCTTAAAATAAAAAATTAAAAAAGCAAAATTTCCATTTACCTCAATTGCGTCGTCTATTCTCTACCTACTTATAATACCTACCTACTTACTTTATTGGTTTTTGTTTACAGGCGCGGAAGCTTGCTTGGTCTACCAATTCATGGCGTGTGGCTCTCTAGAACAGAAATTGCGTTCCAAATCACACTATCCACCTCTCACATGGTCGCAACGGTACAGGATAGCACATGGGGTTGCCAGGTATAAAAAAATATAACTAATTTAATAAAATTGTTACCTATTTGATATCTATACCTAGGAGAGAGATATTTAAGGAAATTTTATATAATCATATCGGCTGTAAACTTTCTACTGCTAAACATAGATATACCTGTATTGGGAAGTTTTGCTAATAGTTGTCACGCTTGGCAGGCAAGTTGCCAACCGCAGTTGGTATTGTTTAAAGAGGGACGCTGCTTCCAATGATGGGAAATGGGATACATTTCAAAATCAATTAAGTGCCCTTAGTAGCATCTTACAATACCTAGGGGACAGGGAGGGGTGGCCCATTCTATATCATATTATACACAGAATAATTTTCCTTATCACAACCCTCTATAATCTTTTTTTTTTATACAACTTAGAATGGCAAACAAGCTGACGGCCCACCTGATGGAAAGTGGTAACTGTCGCCTATAGACATGAGCAGTACCATGGACATAACAGAGTATACTGTTCACCCATGATACCCCCCATGCGTTGACATTCCTGAGGACTCAGGTGTTATTCCTCTGTACCCAGTAAATTCACGCCATATCCCACCCTTCAAACCGAAACACAGCCATGCAAACAACTGCTTCACGGTTGAAACACGAATGGGACAGAGGTACCCAAGCAATCGACTTTTGTACAAAGTCTCCCACTGGTAGTCTCTGGTTTTATAATATATGTCGAATTCAGTCAACCCAACGTCACTTTTGAATTCGTATTACATCTTGAGATAATGTGACCTAAACTAATAGTGTTGCCTACTTCATAGTAGTAATACTATCAGTAAGGTTCCCATTGCTAGCAATATACCCAACCAGGTCGACCTCCTCGCGGTTCTCCCTGGAAACTATCATGGTTAATTCCTGATGAATTCATCATGATGGCCTGTTTTCATTTTCATCTATCACCCTTCACTGGTGCTCCGCCAGCGTATCCCGTTTGCGCCAGCGGGGTTACCATATTATTTTCACTCATCAAAAAAAAAAACTATCAGTAAGGTATATCGGTTACTGAGCATACAGATTAGTAGTTTTAAATAATTAAAATTGTAACAAAATTTTTTAAATCTACTGGACTTAACTAGGCCTGATATGATCAGTATTAGGTATTGACTTTTGATATAACCTAGTATCTAACGGTGAATGTAGATAGATAGATAGATATATTAATATTCTTTATTGTTTCCTCCAAAAGATTACAATAGTAAACTTATTATAAATACAAACAATTACAAGAAATAATGAAACAATGAGAAAAAAATGGGCGACCTTATCGCTAAAAGCGATCTCTTCCAGGCAACCTTTGGATGGACAGGAGTAATTATAAACAGTTTGAATGTACATAAGCATATAAATAAATTAATAAAATAAATCTAATTCTAGAGGTTTGCAATATTTACACACGATGACCGGCACGCCGCTGATACACGGCGACATCAAGCCGGCGAACATACTGCTGGACCAGTGCCTCATGCCGAAGATAGGAGACTTCGGCCTGGCCAGGAAAGGGCCCTACGGTGAGGAGAGGACACATCTGAAAGTGTCTAGGTAAGTTTTTTAAACTATCACCTTATGTCTATGTATGTGGTCTAGCAGGGTTTAACATACTGCTCCACGTTCCGATAGTCGTAGGTTCAATTCCCCGCACGACACTAATATTTATGAGTATGTTTATATTGTTCTGAGTGTTTTCTATATATAGATGAAGTCAATATCGTTAGCATCCTTTAAAGAAACTGTTCTATCAGCAAAACTGAACATTTACATCAATAAGACATGGTCTGTTATATAAGGTTTCATCTTGACAAGTTTTTAAAAAAGTAAAATCTTTATAAATTTGAATTTATTTTATGTAATATTAAATTTAAATTAATAGTATGTCCGTCAGTTGTCTAGTACCCATAATACAAGCTCTGTATAATTTACAACTAGTTTTTTTTTACTTAGATTACAATTGTTTTATTTGATAATTGATAATTCTTTATTTAATAACAATTTACACCTAGTTACTAGCCACCGAACTAGGCTGAGCCTGTATCTCAGTGGTTAGTTAAAAAATTTACAACTAGTTGGCGTTGTGCAAATGTGTAGTTGTCATAAACTAAATAATCCAATCCGTCGTCAGAGTTCACGGGACACGTCCGTACCTGCCGGACGAGTACCTCCGCTCGCGGTGCCTGTCGCCCGCGGTGGACGTGTTCAGCTACGGCGTGGTGATGGTGGAGATTGCCAGCTGCTTGCCGCCCATCGACCGCAACCGGCCTGTGCCGCTGCTCAGCGACTGGATACAGCAGCAGGCCAGGGACGGACTCGACTTTGGTTTGTTCATTTTTTTTTTAATTTTAATTCTAAGATCAGTTTGCGTGTCTTTTTGTCAAGACTGCTCAATTAGAGGTTTTTGTTAACTGCTCGACTGGACCATCTCTGTCTCTTTTGTTTGTTTACAAGGCTCAATTTAACTATTTCGCCATTACTGGCAAAACAAAATACTGGTATATAAGAGCAGTAAATATTATTTTTTTCTCTGAACGACCTTTACAATAACCATGTTATCACGCAGTAATCTCTTTTTATCCCTTTGAATATTTGACCGTCGTCACCTCTTCCCCAGATCTGACCGTTTTTAGATACTTTGCAACAACTTCTTTTTTACAATTATATACAATTTTATATGTTCTTTAACATATTATATCACAGTATAATTATGTCACATATTTTTCACCACATCTGCCCTTCATACGCTTTCTGTTTTTACCTAATGGTTAGCTGGGAGAGAATGCCATATGGCATTAAGCTCGCCACTTGTACAAAGTTTTATTGTGCAATAAAGATAAAAGAAATAAATTAATATTAATTAATGATAGTTTACTTGCATCCCCAAGATATCTTTTTTTTATTTTTGCTTATAATTATTATTTAGAATAGAAACAGCCACGCTATATGTGCTAGATTTAAACTAAATATAATAATCACTCATATTCATATTTAACTCTACAGCGTCTCTAGAAGACCGTCTACTACAAGGCACGCCGCACTCGAACCCGGGACTATGCCGCGAATTTGTGGCCATCGGCGTCCACTGCACCAAGTACTCCCGCGGCGATCGCCCCACCATGCTCGAGGTCTACAAACGGCTGGATAACTTGGAATTCCCTGGAAAACACTACATGTAGCATACGACTGCCCAAACAGTTAGAGTAGGGGGAAAGGGATTGGTGGTAATGGGGATTAACGGCCCCATTGCTAGCAATATACTCTCTATCAAGTTGACCTCCACGCGGTTCCCCCTGGAAACTATCATGGTTAATTCTTTACGTATTCACCACGATGGGCGAACTGACCTGTTTCCTTATCTATCATCCCTCACTGGTACTCCGCCAGTGTATACCGATAGCGCAGGTAGGGTTACCATTTCAATATCATCCATTACAACATGTTAGAGTAAATTGCTAGCAAAAGGCCTGTTAGACTACATCATATTATCATCACCATATCAGCCTTTAATTGTCTGTTGAACATAAGCCTTCACCTTTTGGGGGTTTGGCCAGTAGTTGCCACACTTGGCAAGCGGGTTGGCAACTGTAGCTAGGCCTTGGAGTTATTTTAAAAGGAATGCTGCTTGACCATCCCTGGACAATTAAATTCCCTTAGTCGCTTCTTACGACACCAATTGGAAAGGAAGGGATGAACCGGGCTCACACGTCGAATTATGTATTTATATAGAAATTAGATTATTTCTAAAAACATGTTGTATATATACCTATTTTGTTACGTATATTTTGTTGTGAATGGTAGGTTTAGTATAACTTCCCTACCTTACTTGCGTCTTCCATATTCATATTAACAACTTGAATGTCTAGTTGTGATATTGCTAATATAAACCAAGCTAAAATGTATTTATTATACTAGTTACTTTATAATACATCAATTATAGTAAATAACTATATCCTGTTATTAAATACAGGTCATAGCAGTGAACCACTGTTTTGTCCAATAGGACAAAACTACGTATAGAGTTGTGGCCGTTTTGTGTTACTGTGATACACACACATATAATAACTCTTGTTTTAGAAACTATGATTTGCTTTTTTTTCTTTGTAAGATTTCATATATGTGTGACAGGCGCTTACAAATATACTTATATTGTTATTTTTACATATTCATAGTCATAGACTGGCCATAGCAACCCTAGTAATAGCAGGTTGGTGAGTGCGAAAAGAAAAATTATGTATATGTTAATCATTAACAAAACTGCAATATCTAAAATGCTCACTTAATTTATGTAGTTGACGGATTATGTATTTGTAAAGGCCTACCTCTGTTTATTGTATCATTTAGTAAAGAGTATAATAAATCATCAGAATAAAGCCGCAGGCAAAAGCTAGTCATCGATATTGCTATTAGTATTTTATTTGTTTAAAGTTATTATTTACTTAACTAAAAATTCGCCTTATTGCAATAATTATATATAGACAAATAGAATGTAAAGTCAACAGTATAACTGACTTATCATACAACTATTTGTTTGCTCATTATATATCTTGCTTTGCCTATTTTTATAAGCCAAAATAATTTGTCTAAAGCAAATGCCATTTCCTAATACTTTTGAGTGAAGGAAATAAATAATAATAGGTAATATGTAAGAACTCTTTATTGTTAACTATCAATAATATACAAGCAATGTTAAATACAAAAATATTACAACACAAACAATGGGCAAAGCTGTTGAAAAATAAATTTTGACATCTTTATGGGCAAAATACTTGAATCAGGACTAGAAGTTTCGAAATTAAATACAAAGTAGAATATATGTAATTTGTGTTAAGAATTTGTCTAATAAAATATTGTTAAAGGCACGTGAAACCTTAAACCATGTCAAAGGTATTCAATTACATCGAAGCAGCGTAGAAACTCAACTCCAGAGGACGTTACCGTTACGTAAATTGTAATTGGATTGGTAAAAAGGTCAGAGGCTGTTGCAGTCCTTTTTTGTTTCTGCTCAGTAAAGGTTTGAAGATGTAAAAAATGGAATTGTACTCTTGGGTGGATTGGTGCTTATTTTATGTAAAACATTTACTAAAACGACTGAACTAGTATATAGAACGATCTATATCGTCATAGTCATAGAATACTGACGGATCTTTATATGTAATATTTGTCAGATCCGTCAGTATTTTACGACTATGACGAGTTTATGATGTATTGTAAGAATGTTTTATTAATAAATGAATATAATATTTTTTTAACATTTATTTTTATAATCAAACCCGCTTTGGATTCGTGCTAGTAAATAGGAAGAGGAAGTCTATTTTTTTTTTAAATACAGCCCATTTTTAATTTTTTTTTTATACTACTTTGGTGGCAAATAACTATACGACCCGTCTGATAGTAATCGGGGTTATCGTAACCAAATATGCTGATAATGTAGCTATCTTTAGGTGAAAGATTTTTTAAAATGGTTAAGTATCATTTTATTTTTGAGTTTATGCATCAGAAACAAAAGAAATTTCCTCTTTATATCGCCAATTTGAGTATTATCTAAATTTTTTTTTTTTGCAACTTAAAATGGGAAACAACTTGAGGCCCATCTGATGCAAAGTGGTAACCGTCGCCTATAGACATGAACAGTACCAAGTATATAACAGAGTATACTGTTTCGCCCATGATACCCCCCCCCCCCCCATGCGTTGGTATTCCTAAGGACTCCGATGTTCTTCCTATGTACCTTGTAATTTCACTGTAATATCCTACCCTTTAAACCGAAACAGCCATGCAAACAACTGCTTTACGCTATAAACATGAATGGGTAAGAGGTGTCCAAGCAAACGACTTATACAGTCTCCCTCTGGCAAATATCAATTTAAATAATAGATAGAAAATGATACGCTCGATTCCAGGTACTATGTCAAAGTTGATTATTTCCTTCGTTACTCTTTAAACAAATAATTGTTTTCATTAGAATAGCAGTTCCTTTCGCACTGCTTTATAATTGTGATCTAGCGTCCTTGTAGCAACCAAGTGACGAAACCAAAACGCTGAGGATTTGGGCCTTCGAGTCCGTTCTTCGTCGTCGTAATTTATCTCGAAGATGCCGAATTTAATTCTGTAAACACAAATGTATTATAGTTATTTAAATATATTAAAGGACTTGATAGGAGCTCGTTAGTGTCCTTTCACACAGGCAATTCAAGTAGGGCAGCAGATTTTTATCGCATTGAAAAGTAAGTTAATAAAAATGCACCTTATTTCAATTATATAAAACACAATTTTAAACGCCAGTCTGTGTGAACGGACCTTATTGAAGCCGAAACTAAAGTTAATATGTGAATAATACCGATATAGATTAATACACTGACTTACGATAATTATCATTCAGCAATAAATGTTATTTAGGTAATTATGAATATGCAGGAGGCTCGAAACTCTTCTTTATGGCCTTGTGGCCTTATGTTCAGTAGTGGACAGTTATTAGCTAATATGATGATGAAAGACTAGGTGATGGAAGTTCATACGAAAAAATAAGAATTCCAAGATTTCTTTCTCTTGAATGAATCTGATGTAAAATTGTATTTCCACCACGAATGTCACATTACTGTACTGCCCATGCACTCTTTATGCTATACCACTCTCGAATATAGAGATATAACTAATAATAACTTATAATGAGATATTATCGTTTCCATCTCAACTCAAAACATACTTATTTTTATCTTGTAATGTTAAATAATAAAAGATAAAAAGATATTTGAACGTATATTATTTTTTATAGTTACTAAATAAATAAATATATTGTAGATTATGTAAGAAATATATTCCGTAATCATAAAATATTTTATCTTATACTATCTATCTTATATTATCTTATCTTATATTATTATAAACTTCGTTTATCTTACATATAAACATACTTCATAAGACAATCCTACATATTTAAATATATGTGCAATATTTATTTGCACAACCAAATAAGTAGGTAATATTTGTACAATAGAATATTCAGAGTGATAGAGAAAGTTCGGCCACTACTTCCTATCCCGTGAGTGTCGTAATAGTCAACTAAGAGATGGCGCGAAAGGGGTAGCAGCGTCCCTCTTAAAACATCTCCAAAGCCTAACTGCAGTAGCCAATCCGCCTGCCACGCATGGCAACTACTGGCAAAACTCCCCAAGCGGGAGGCTTACGTTCAACAGCGGACAGTTAAAGGCTGATATGATGACGATAATGATACAATGTAATTAGTAATCATTTACACAATATAATGTTATTTAATTAAAAATTATGATGTCATTTAGTAATTATTTCAATCCCTAGAGAATACAGTTTGGTGTTCTTCAAAAAGGGTATAAGTATTTAGGTTTCTTCAGGATTGGCAACGCGCACGTGACACCCCTAGTGTTGTAGGCGTCCATAGACTACAATGACCGTTTACCATCAGACGGGTTGTATACTTGTTTGCAACCTTCGTGTTATAAAAAAAGATGTATTACGATTAAATATAAAGGATTCCTTTTGATATTTATGTAATTACTAACTTTTACCTAGGACTTTGTCCGCGTGACCGGAATATGTTTACTAACCAGGATAAAATAAATTGTGTTCTACAAAATAACTGACTTCTCTTATGGCAAAACTAGTTATTCTGATTTAAAAACCCAACTGTTGAACAGATTTTGATAAAGTTTAAAGGATTTTCCAAATCGGTGTACAACTGATGGATTTATGAGGTAATAAACAATAAAAAAAAATACTGTATTGAATTGAGAACCTCCTTCAGTTTTAAAGTCGGATTATAAAAAGTTTGTTATATTATTTCTTCTCTGTTCCATGTAATAAGTGTATATCAAATTTCATAATGATTGGTTAAGCCATTAAGGCAATAAACATAATAAGGTAACAAACAAAGTAAAAAACATTCACATTTACAATATTACTAAGGTTTAACTGTCAAGATAACCATGTTTTTTTTTTAAATATCACAGAAATATTCTCTAAATGAAACCAGAAACAAATTGAAATATAAAATCATTTAGTCGATTCTCGGTTTGTACTTCTATTGGACATCAATTGACTATTATCGGGACAATCGTTTGTTTACATTATCATTAAGTTCTGTTGAAAATAACACCCTATTATGAATGAGTCAAGTGCCATAAGTCAACATAAGTGCCAAATATTCTTATTAAACAATACATAGTAACATAACTATGCTAACTAGTACTTTGTTTTGTTAGGTATGAAATGTGTTATGTGGCAATTTGAGCAGATAAATTAGCATATTAGTCCTCAGTAATGCCAACACATAAGAATTACTTTATGCATCAAATTGTAATCTACGAGACCAACGCTTTCAAATAAATAAAGAATTATCCAAATCGATTAATAAACCACAGACTAGCGAGGTAATGAACACAAAAATATACTACCGTATTGAGTACGTCTTTTTTATATGTCGATTTTTTTAAAGGGTTTTGATAATGGAATGGTTATCCCGCCTACGCTGTCGGTATACGCTGGAGAAGCACCAGTGAGGGATGATAGGTGACGATGGAAGCCGGTCAGTTAGCCCATCAAGACCAATTGTACTAGAATTAACCATGATAGTTTCCAGGTGGAAACGCGTGGAGGTCGACCTGGTATTTCTAGTAATGGGAAAATTAGATCCCATTACTAACAATCCCTTTCCTCCCTTTATAAGTCGATTAAAGAAATACCTACCGCAAACCACTACACCATTCGAAATTATCCATGAGACTCCATACAGTGTACATGGTGACATTACACTTGTCAATTTCAATAGCATCCAACATGGAGTTGATGTAGTCGGCTAAATACGATATCCTGTCGACATCCTCTAAACCTCCCAAATCGCCGAAACCGTTTTCCAAAATCAATATTTCGGGGTCGTTGCAATTGTCTTTAACCCATTTTAGTGCCTTCCTCATGCCCGCCGGTATGGCCTGCAAATATTTTATTAAATTGCTTTATAAGATATAATAATAATAAAATATCTGTACATAGTTTTTTATGGAATACGTTGGCGAGATACCAGTGAATAATGATAGGTGAGAGACAGTCCAATGGTTGATAATGGAATGGTAACACCGCCTGCACTAACTATGTAAGCTAGCGGAGTACCAGTAAAGAATTGAAATACAAGTCAATTAGTCCATTGTGATAAATTTGTCTGGAATTAATCACGATGATTTCCAGGGCAACCGCGTGGAGGTCGATCTGACAGGGTATATTGCTAGTAATGGAGCTGCTAATACCCATTATCAACTCAGGTCAGTTGGCCCATCATTTGAGTTTTCTAGATAAATAGAACATTAATTTAGAGGCCAGAAATTATCACCTGAATACCACAGCACTGGAAAGACGAGATGAAATAAAAACCAGAGGAAGACTTTGTACAAAAGTCGATTGCTTGGGTACCTCTGTCCCATTCGTGTTTCTACCGTTAAGCAGTTGTGTTTGCATGGCTGTGTTTGGGTTTGAAGGGTGGGATATGGCGTGAATTTACAGGGTACAGAGGAATAACATCTGAGTCCTTAGGAATGGCAACGCATGGGGGGTATCATCGGCGAAACAGTATATTCTGTTATACCCATGGTACTGCTCATGTTTATAGGCGACGGTTACCACTTTCCATCAGGTAGGTCGTCAGCTTGTTTGCCATTCTAAGTTGTATAAAAAAACCATATACCGAGTTCGGATTATTATGGAATTATATTTTATATTTTAAATAATATTGTCTCTGTATCAAAGATTATTGGTGTATTACCTACTACGTACATAATATTTGGATTAGTAAAGTTATATAATATTTACCGTAGAATGGATAATGGCAGCTGGCTTATAATCTTTTAAAGAAAAGACTCCACCAATATCGTCCTCGTAAGAGGGCACTGGGAACGTCCCTTCTTTATAAGTGCTACGTGTATAAAATCTTGTTGAATAGTGATTGAATCCGTAGAAGTCACTTGTTCCTGTAATAAACTTTTATTATTGACACACTTTTCCTTTAATATTACCTAAATTAAAATAGACAAAATTCACGTACTACTTGGCGTCTTAACAGTTCGAGGGTAAGGGTATTAGTAATGGAGACTAACGGCCCCATTGCTAGCAATATAGAGTATATTAACTACTAATGGGAAAAGTCAATATTCTGTAGTGGACAAATTGAAGATTGGAATGGTACTAATGTATAAAGTTGAAGCATAAACGGAACTTCATTCATCACGATTTAAGTAAATACTATAAAGTTCTTTTCTTTGTATTTTGACTCTTTTGTTTCGGGAGCAATGTAATTTATTATTATTCTTATTACTACTTTTTATATTAATATCATTATTATATCATTCGTTAACTGTCCACTGCAGAACATAGGCCTCCTCGTTAGGGGTGTTTTGTCAGTAGGCCAGCCGCAGTTAGGCTCTAGAGATGTTTTAAGAGGGAATATGCTGTCCATCCTTTGACAATTAAGTTCCCTTAGTTGCCTTTTACGACATCCACGAGACAGGAAGGGTTGGTCCATTCTATGCCGGGACTAGACGACAATATATTTGTATACTTATTCTATTTCATTCCATTACAATTTAATCTGTTGTTTCTATTTTGAAAAATTTTAGTAGTTATCTATATATAGAAGTCATAGTATCTCAAGAGATGCGCGATTGCAATCAGATATTGATTAAGTACATAAATGTTATCAACGTATCGCGCGAAAGGTATCATTTATCCATTTATTGTTTGTTCATTAAAATTTATAATCAATGTAGGCACCTATCTATTATTATTTACTGCTTGTGACTTTGTTATATTATTATTGATTACCTGATAAACTGATAATCTTGTTTTTAAACAATATGACACGCCTCGCACCTTTCATGAAAGTCCTCTGACTAAAATTTTTGTTGCAAAGCAGCTAAACTTGCATGTCTACGTTTAGTTCGAATGGTAGAATTTGAATGTGAAATTACAGTGTATGAAGACACAAAATCTTAGGCCTTGAGAATGGCAATATATGGGTATCAAGAGTTAGCTAATTTGACAATTAGCCGACAAAAAGTTGACCCGTTTTTAAGGTTCGATGTTCTCTGTATTTATAATCGAAGTATCCAATAAAGAAACGCAAAGTTTTCAATCTAAATAAAATTATGAACGTAAAACTGCTAATGGAGACGTAACATGAGTAGCTGGGATAAGTACAATTCACGCCAACTTCTTAGAATTAACATTACACAATTAAATAATATTTTTTTTATATCAAGTACCTACCTTTAATAAATTCAATTTCTTCTTTACTGAGCTCTGGCAATCTACTTCGAGGGTAGCCCTGTTCGACACTTTTCTGCCCAATACGTCGTATCACACTCTCAGGGAAACCACCTTCGGTAGAAAATATAGGATGACTGTACAACCCAACTTCGAAGTCCATCGCTTCTTGTCCAGTAATCACGTCTTCTGGAAAGTCAGTCTCGCCCTCGCGATAGTCCGTAGCTATTGTAAGACCACATATACCTGGAAAATTTAATGGTATGTATATATTAATACCTTAATTGCACGTATTTCTGGGTATGTTATTTTGAAAAAAAATACGGGGTCTCATTTACATAGTATAAGAATTTACGTGTATTTTTGCTATTCGATTTGAAGACACAGTATTAATTTATTACTACCACAGATAATTTAATACTATTCTTACTATAAATTCTTACTATAAATTATTTTTTTCTTGAGAAGAAAAGGATGAATAAAAACGATCAAGAAGAACTTAAACACTTAATTAGCTTGCTTACCTTTTTGTGATGGCCGGAATTCTTTATCATATAGATGCCATGCCCTCGCATGCGCGAGAAGCAAATTCTTTGCTACCAAATACTCAGCAATACCACTTATATTCAAACCGGGCGCAAACCTTGACATTCCATAACCAAAAACACCAAATTGCTTCGGTTCATTCAAAGTAATCCACGTCTTTACTCTATCTCCAAATAATTCATATAAAACCCTCGCATAGTCTTCAAACCATACGGCAATTTCAGGGTTGGCCCAACCACCGAGATCTTGGAGTTTCTGGGGCAAATCCCAGTGATATATCGTAACTACAGGCTCGATTCCATTAGCTATTAACTCATTGATCAAATTATTGTAATATTCTGTGCCTACTTTGCTTATTTTGTTGGAGAACCCTTCAGGAAGAATTCTGGGCCAAGATATAGAGAACCTGTAGATTTGGACTCCTAGAAATTTGATCATCTCGATGTCTCGCTTGTAATACTCATAGGATTTGCATGTATCCTCGCCATTTGTGCCATCTAAAATGGCACCCGGCTTTCGGCAAAATGTATCCCAGATACTAGGTGACTTGTCTGTAAATTGGTTATTTGATAAATATTTTAAATGCACTGTAAAATACTACTATCAAATATTACTACTTTATTGCTAGTAACAAATCACAAACTATTATAATAGTCTCTGACGGTAACAAAAAAAATCACTGCAATGAAAGCTCCATACAGCACCAAAAAGTATACTCAATAAATTTTGGAAATTTTTGTAGAAAGTTCGCCCGCATAATCTAAAAATAATTAATTGTAATTTATTTACCTGCTGCGTTCCATCCACCCTCAATCTGATAAGCAGCAGAAGCTACTCCGAACTTGATATTTTCAGGGATTTTCCTCATTTTCGACAGCACTACTCTTTATAAATTGCAAGCAAGCAATGACTTATTTCTAACTCCCAGTTTATTTTCTTAAAAAAAAATATTATCACATCTTATCAAACACATGTTGTGTTGAGTATCTTATTATTATATGATCCAAGTTAAGAAGTGTACTTACCTTATCATGAATAAATACTACTCGCCTACTAATGGGCTTAGTATACATTGTTTTAAATATATAAATGTATATTGTTTTTTTTAGTCTACTATGAATGTTTCTCTGGAAAAGTCGTCTTCGGAGCCGGACATACATTTGACTCCTACAAATTTTTTTATGATCCGTAGTAAGAGGTTACGGTAGGAAGATTCTATTGGTATGTCAGATCTTACAGCTTTCAAGGATGAAATGATAAAGTCGATAGCTGCTCTTTTTGCTAATTCTGATGCAAAAATTTGCCAAACGCTATTGAGCTTAAAGGAGGTACAAGAAACAAATCAAGGAATTTTGGAGACTATTAATTACCTCACGGATCAGAATAAACAGTTGAAGGCTAAAATTGATTCTTTAGAATTACAGTAACACCTGTATACAAGAGTGGTGACAGAGATGACGTTAACAATTATAGACATATATATTTGTATTAACAGCTTTTTCAAAAATCATAGAAAAAAATATTAATAAATGACTTGATACCTATCTTAATAAATACAATATCATATCGGATTGTCAGTTTGGTTTTAGACAAAATATATCTACGGAATATGCTGTAACAGCCTTAAAAACTTTAATAGTAGACCAACTAAATAAAGAAAGTATACGTCTCACGGTATTTTTAGATCTAAAAAAGGCATTTGATAATGTCTCTGTCTACATTCTTGTACAAAAAATGGAACGGATTGGCATAAGGGTTATACCTTTGGCACTACTTAGTGATTATTTAACAAACAGGAAACAATGCGTTAAGATTGATAAGTATACGAGTACTAGTGCATACTGCAATGTAGATTTTGGTGTTCCTCAGAGAAGTGTGCTCGGGCCTACGCTCTTCTTGATTTATATAAACAATTTGCTAAACATACAAATAAATAATGCCAAGATTTTTTCATATGCTGATGACACGGCCATTGTTTTTACTGGCAAAACGTGGAATTCCATTCGTACGAATACTCAAAAAGGACTAACTATAATTGATCTTTGGCTAAAGAATAATTTACTTACTCTAAACTCTCTAAAATCGAATAAATATATGTTATACGTACCGTAAATAAATCAACGCAACCACCATCAGAATTTAAAATTATCATTCATTCTTACAATTGCAATAAACTAAATGGTGACTGTTTATGTCCATCTATTGATAAAATTACTACTATTAAATATCTTGGTATACACATGGACCAGCACTTATCTTGGCATTCCCATTTAGAAGCAATCAGCACTAGAGTCCGTAAGCTAATTTGGATTTTTATTAAGTTGCGTTATGTGGCATCGAAATCTTTGATCAAGTTAATATATATAGCCCTAGCGCAATCTATATTGATGTATTGTATTCCTGTATGGGGTGGAGCTACTAAAGTAAAATTTTTAGAAGTGGAAAGATCCCAAAGTGCTCTTCTTAAAGTGGCCTACTCTAAACCACGTATTTATCCCACTGATAAATTTTATCAAGAGTGTAATTTATTGTCAGTAAGAAGGATTTATGTACTTTATCCAACTTTAAAAAGACACAAATGTGTAGAACTAAACTTTTCTTATTCATTAAAACGTAGGAAAAACATAATTGTGGTGGAAAGTAACGTTAGGACAATTTTTGCTATGCGACAATATAGTAAACAATCAACACATTTATACAAGTTATTAAATTGAATATCTATAAGCTAAACAATTTTTATTATAAAGGTGTAATTATTAAATGGTTAAAAACTTTAAATTACCACGAAACAGAAGAACTTTTCAAATATCAAAAATATTGATGAGTTACTTTTTAATAAAAACTTAACAATACAGATTTGCACAGAGCTACACAACACTCATACAACATACACACTACACAACAACTGGTATATGTTCGCGCACGTACACGCACACATACACTCACACGCACGCACACACACATTCATACACACACACACATACATGCACACAGACGCATGCATGCGTTTAGATACAATGTTTATGTCTTAATTTTATGGTACTATGACTTGTAGTTTCACGGTTATGGAGAATCGTGACCATCTGATACAGGTGATAACACTTACTAGAAGGTCCCAACAACTATCTTAGTATTGTATTAATTTTGTTACGAAATAAATATTTTTCATTTTTATATTGTTATATATATTATATTTGTATGTACGTGTTGTATTTTAGTTTTGAAAGATTATTATTCAAACAATTTTGGGTCCTTCTTTAAGGGGTTTACAATGAATGGTAATAGAATGGTAATCCTGCGCTAACAGTATACGTTGCATTACCAACAATCCCTTCCTCCCAGCCTTTACTACGTGAGGTCTGACTACTCACCTACAATACCTATCTACCAAATAAAAACATCAGTCTTTGAATAGATCATAATGCTATCTTCAATACAGATACAGAGGGTACAGAGGAATAACATCTGAATCCTCAGGAATGGCAACGCATGGGGGTATCATGGGCGAAACAGTATAATCTGTTATGTCCATGGCACTGCTCATATCTATAGGCGACGGTTACCACTTTCCATCAGGTGGTATATATATATGTATACATATATATATATAAGTACAAGGTACAAGATTTGCTTAGCTTGGAGTTTGATGGTGCTGTAAGATAATCATCATCATTATTTGTCCACTGTTGTATCTAGACCTCCTCCATAACCTGCCATAAGGGACGGTCCTGAGCCACCTACATCCACAAACACCCAGCAATGCATTTAAGATCGTCACTCCATCTAGTGGAGCGTCGTCCTACACTGTGTTTGCCCAAACGAGGAACTTTACTCCCCTTCTTTCTTGTCGATTCTTCGAGTTACGCGACCAGCCCATTACCACTTCAGCTTGTTTATCCTTTGGGCTATGTAGGTTGGACTTTAGTTCTTTTAGGAATATCCTTTATTTTGATACTATGTGATAATATCTAACAATATCTTATTTATCTTTAATATTCATCACGTAGGTCTAAAAAAGCACTAAATATATTTATTGTAGATACAATAACTCTATTTTAATATTGAAGAATCCCTAATGCAGGAACAAAAGATATAAGAGTGGTTTACTCATAATCATAAACAACATTACGATCAAAATATTCATTTATTTGATATAACACTATTATTTCATAACACATACTATTGTCACAATGTAAACACACGTACCCTTTCACTTTTTACGAGAATAACATTTCATAAACTATTATCAAATATTACTACAGTATCAGCACATGAATAAGTATCTCTACAGAGTCTAAGTACGTACAATCGTCCTACTGGGGATACACAAGACGAAAATTATATTTATTAAATAATTATATATATATATATATATATATATATATATATATATATATATATATATATATATATATATATATATATATATATAGTATTTAGTAAAGGAGTTACGTTTATTATTAAAATTGCAAAGCACCTCGATTGTACGAATATTGAACTAACGCAAATGGGGTGAATTTTAACGTAATGAAAATCGCATGGAATTAACATCATATAAGGAAACGTCCATATACTGTCAACTTGTCCATATTGCAGCAAACCAACTCCGTGTAGTTCTAAACATGACGTAGAGTACGTGAACTGTCCGTATGGGTTTACACACGCAAACATTGAGCTATGTGTGCGTATACCTACACAGGGCCACTTGCATGTAATTTGTACTCTGTAAGGATATTTACTCATGGTTTTTATACAGGAATTAACATAAACAGTTATAAACTGAGATATTAATACCAAATAAAAAATTAATTTAAAATACTCTACCATATTTATCATGACTTTTGGCCACTGTAAACCGTATTTACAAGAAGAGAAAAATAATATATTAATAATTAAAAAAAAAATCATTACTTTCGTCTCCACTAAATGAAAATAGAAGTAATTCTTAGACTGATAATAATGACATTCCACAGAATGATGATGATGAGATCAATTTCTACAATTGGTAAATTTTAGAGATAAATTCGGAGTATGACATTTTATTAATATTATACGTAACTATATAACGTTTTCTTACTATTTTATTTTAATGTTTATAACAAAATTAATGTGAATGTAATCAAAGTTAACACTAGTTTATTTTTAACTTGAAACGATATAAAGAAAAAAATATAGGTATTAAAATAATTCATTTTACATATATATATATAATTTTAATCTAAAAATAAGAATCCCTATGTTATATTTACACTAAACAAACCGAATTCAAATAGTGCACTTTTTGGGCTTTTGGAGATAAGTCATATGTTTTGGAGATAAGTCATATGTTTTGGAGATAAGTCATATGTTTTTAAAAAAATCTTACAATTGCTTATTTTAATTAAAATTGTAAAAAATAGGGTAAAATCTTTAGTTAACATTTTTTATTTAATTTAAAATAAAATTACAGGAGAATTACATTATAAATACAAGTAAAAAAAAACACATTTAAATATATTAATTACAGAATATATATATTTTTTTTATAATACGACGATATAGGGTATTTAACAAAATATATTTATTCAATATTAGAAATAGATATAATCTTTATTCATATACATATATAAAACTTGATCACGAGTACTTCAAAATTGTCAATATTTTTTCTACCATTGGGTGTGGAATGTTATCTGTTAAGAAAAAAAATATTTATTTTGTTTCTGATATTATTTATATTTAAAGCAATATACTCAAGTTTATTAGGGAATGCTAGCTGTATCCCACAGCTTTAGCCGCATAAACAAGTATATATATATATATATATATATATATATATATATATATATAGAAAATTTCATTCAAAGTCGTTCAGTAATTCTTTTGTGAAAGATTAACAAACATCTATTCATCTTGATAAATTTTTCCATTTATATGATAGCAGTAGGATCGAAATTTTAAAGATTTTGGAATAGGTTTTGAGGCGCCTGTTCTCTAAAACACTCTTAATTAATCTTAATAAATGATACATATTTTAATTTGTTAGTTTCGCTAAATTACCTCCTTATGGACCATCATAAACAAAAATTATAGTAAATTAGACTTAAGTCTATTAGAAATTTAGTTCATATTGGATCTTAGAATAAAGATTTCGCTGTCGTCTTTAATTTTAAAGATGGGTTTAGAGAAATAGCGCCTAGAAACCGTCACATTCTTTTAGTTTCATGTTATTTTTGTCATTTCAAACAAAATAGGATAATGTTACGACTAGGTTAGACTAGCTTGAATCAGCCTCCCTAGACAAATAGCTAGTTTTCGCTGCTGCATGAGTGAAATAGAAAAAGACAGTAAGTCCCATAGGTTACTTGTTACAAAGTAAACTAATAAAAAGAATTAAACAATGTAATTTGAAATGTATTCCATTTTAAATCTATATTGTACGTCCCAAATGGGCTAATAGTCGATTTCATACTATTATTTTTGTAAATACAGTACACAATTGTGATACTAAACAGGAGAAAATGTATCTATTATAAGATTTACTATAATTTGCCACTTATACAGGGGGATTGGTCACGAGCATACTAGTCGAAATTTTATTATATTGGCGCTGATGGTGCTAACATGCATATAATGCGCATTATCTGTTATATCAACAGCGTGAATCGGTAAGATGTAGCGGTAATTTAATTACCATAATGTCCCATACAAATTAAATACATAATAACATTCAAACAATTGTTATGACTATATGTGATATTAGATTTTTATATAATTCTTTTATGCACCAAGTTGTGGACTAAAACACAACTATAGTAGGTATCAATCAATCATAGATTGATTTTTAAAACTTATCACATACAAAGAACCATAGACAAACTCGTAAATAGAGATACTGAGGTAGTAGAGGCGTTGTTTTGCCTCAAAGTTATTGTAAATCGCATCTCTAGTTACGAAACTGCCTATAAATATTGTATTTTTTTAAATAACATAGTGTTTCCACAGTCTAAAGAACTTTTCCCTACCAGTCGTCCAAAACTAAACAGTGTTCCAAACTGCTATGTAATCGGTAGACACGCCAAAGGGACTGGACCACTGGTTGTTCTTTTGACTGTAGCATTACATCACATTAATATAGTGTCAGAGATCAATTAATTTAAAACAATATTAAGTAGTAACATTAGGTAGTAAGCTGTGTATTTATTGCTATTTTATGTAATAAAAATTATTATATTGGGCAACTAAAATATTAGAACGGGTGTGACCATCTGATTAGGGTTAAATTACAGTGATAATTGCAAAAATAAATTCTAATTTTCCCTTATGTGAATCACGTATTAGTATTTTTAAGCAATTGTAAGGACTCGACACTTCAGCACCACATATTTATTACAAATAAGTCTACATTTTTTATTTTTCAATTCCAATGTATTAGTCGCCTATAAAAACACATTTTTAGCAGTTCATTTACAATAAAACAAAATTATTAGATAACATGTCAATTTGTAATATTTTCTTAAATTTTTTTTATGCAACTTAGAATGGCAAACAAGCTGACGGCCCACCTGATGGAAAGTGGTAACCGTCGCCTATAGACATGAGCAGTACCATGGACATGACAGAGTATACTGTTTCGCCCATGATTCCCCCTTGCGTTGCCATTCCTGAGTACTCAGGTGTTATCCCTCTGTGCCCAGTAAATTCACGCCATATCCCACCCTTCAAATCGAAACACAGCCATGCAAACACAACTGCTTCACGGTTGAAACACGAATGGGACAGAGGTACCCAAGCAATCGACTTTTGTACAAAGTCTCCCTCTGGTAATTTTAATAAATCGGAAGTGATTTTTTACATGAAAGTTAAAACAAGTACAGTCACATAAATAAATTTATATGTTATAAAAATACAATTTATTTAAAAACAATAACTGGATTTAACAGGAAATTCAATATATACTTTGTAGAGACTATGCAATCGTTCATTATTGTTTTAATTAGTTCGGACAACTTAGACACAGGTGGCGCTTTGATGGTGACGGTACCTCTCGCCTGTTTACATTCAAGACAGTTTATTTCGTGGCCCTTTATATTTAATTCTTTAGCACCGATGTCGTACGCTCCTGGAGCATTTCTGAGGACGCCTTTGAACCGTATCTTATCATCAGCTCGCAGTTGATGGGTGAAATTTTTGAAATGATCATCAAACAGAACGGATATCTCTGTGTGACGTTTCAAGAGCCCACCCGATGCCTCCATTAGAAGTTGCACTTCATACGTGTATCTGGAGATAGAAAATATAGGCATTTTAAGAGACTTCAAGACATTTTAACATTTTGTTCCATAAAAACACATACTTTACTTAACTTTAAGTTTACTACTGTAATATATGTATCTACTTCAATTGGGGCAAAACCATTTATTTTGATTTAAAGCAAATTTACTGAACCGATTTAGATGAAAAATCAAGTGGATCAATTTGAAAGTATATCCATTCTAATAAAAAATATATTTTCCAAATTGGTTTATAAATGACGGGATTCTGATATAACAAACCCAAAAAAAAAGCAACTGAATGTCCTCTTTTTTTTCAGTTGAATAAAAATTAAGAATATTAGATATAACAATTTTATAGAATACTAGCTAACACGGCAAACATTGTTCTACTTCCTATCGCTATCTACCTATTTTTTTTTAAATGGATGATAATGAAATGGTAACCCCACCCGCGCTATCGGTATACACCGGCGGGGCACCAGTGAAAGATGATAGGTGAGGATGAAGTAGGTCAGTTAGCCCATAGTGACGAATTCAACAAGAATTGTTCACGATGATTTCAAGAGGAATCACATGGAGGTCGACCTAATAAGATATATTGCTAGCAATGGGGCTGTCAAACTCCATTGCTAACAATCCTTTTCCCTCACTATCTACCTATTAGGTGTATGCTATATATAGAAATATCTATATATTGTTGTTAAAATTATATTATATATATAATTAATTATATTATATATTATATTATCTCTCTAATGAATATATTTAATATCAGTTATCCAATATATAATTTCAAAATGACAATAGATATTTGGCTGGTATGGATGATATCAAAATGGGTGCTTTCAATATATTTGTTTCCTATCATGTTCAGAAGAACCTGATATATGGATATTAAATTGGTACCCGGATATTACCCATACTTATCATCCACTGCAACTATTTCTCTTATTCCTATTCCTCAAGTTAGAGCAAACAATACTTATACATTTGCAAATTTTTATTATAAGAATATAGTCTATGAGGGAGCACAGTTAGATAATAAATTACCTAGAGATATAAAAGATTTAAACTCGCCTGTATTATTAAAAAAAAGTATTGAAACACCACATTTTGAAGGTTTACTAGTAATAAGTAGTCTGATTGCAGTATATGTGTGATATTTACATATTTAATTCTAACTTAATTTATTAACTTAATTTTTAACTATAATATTTGAATGTGTGATATACATGTATATGCGTGTGAATTGCGTATTTAAGTGAATACAGAATGATGAACAAATAATAAATAAAGTAATAGTACAATAAGTGTAAGTTAACCGAAGATTGTAGATATTGCCCTTACATTATAAGCAACTTGTTGTATTGAGTTTTATAATTTTTATAAAATGAAGGTAGTTTCACATTTTGTTTTATTTTCAGTTGTATGTTTGGTAAATTACGCTCGCTAACAGTAGATATTAAGTGCATGCTCATAGTTTTAAATTTCTCATTTAAGTGATTTATGTACATCTTTAGAGAGATAAATATCTTAAACCGTAAACCGTAAATTTTATTAAAATTGGTTGAGCCGTTTTGGAGATTAGCGTGAACCAACATCGTGACGTGGAGATTTTATATATTAAGATTTAATTTATTACAATTTAAAACAATTGAATAAAAATTTTCATTTGATGATGACTGATTAGTAATTGTGATTGTTTACCTATACATGTTTACATTTCTGTTCCAAATTTCATACAAAATAGTTCAGCGTTTATACAGTTCTTCACGCGAAAACAACCGATTCAGTTAGAATATATTCGTAGTTATTATAAATAAATGCAATAGTAAAAAGAAACTTACTCATTCAAGTTATTCAAGTGACAACTCTTCCCGCTTTGCCGAGCCACGCTTCTAACAAATTCGCACTCTTTACTCGAATATCGACCGTCAGCACCTTGACACGAAGTCGAGTATTCTTCACCATAATAGCACTTGAAATACTCCTGCAAAATACCGGGCAACCAGGCGGCTACTGAACTCCATCTATTCACAACACTCTTCAATTTGACGTCTTTAATATAACCCTCCCAATTTACGTTGGCACCTTCTAGTACTGAACACTTTATTTGAGTAGCCGCCACGTTATAATCCGACCAAGATGGATTGTTGCAATGGTTATAATAATCCTCCCAACTTATGTAGTAGCTATTGTCTTCGTAATCCGATATAAATTCGTTCTTCAATAGATTCCTTAAACCGGATTTCTCATCGCCAATTAGTTCTAGCAAACCAGAAGGCAAACCATCGTCTTGAACCTCGCTTACAAACTGGTTGCCAAAGTATATTATTGTTATAAGACCGACAGCAAGCTGGAAAAAAATATATAATATATTAATAATATTACAGTACTTTAAAAATTATTAACTAAATTATATAATTAATAAGTTGGTCGAAAACATATTGACTTATTTATAATTATTTTTTAAATAATTATACATAAGTCCATTTGAAACTTCATAGTATAGGTTGGACAATATAATATGGAGCCAATTTTTTATATATTTCTAATCAGAAAAAGTTCAACATTTATGAAGTGTGATCTGAAAACATAATTACATTTATATCCTTACCAATATTACAAATGTGACAGTAAGTTTGTTTGTTTGTTATTTTGTAACGCCTTAATTAATCTCTATGAAATTTTATACAAACATACAACATAAGATGGAAAAGAATAAAAGATAAATATAACCTGTATATAAAAATAAAAACTAACCTGAAAGGGCGTGACAAATTTCTTCGTAGCATCTGACTTGGCCAGTAAACACGTAACCCCCATACTGAGCACAAACCATACAACAATACTGACAGTATAGAATACTCTCGACAACGTGATATACTGAAGAAATGCAAAAATAGGTAAAGTCACCGTTACCACTCCGATTAGAGGCAAGAAGAGGAACGAGCAAACTAACGCCAAGGTACCTCTTATCAAGCCGTATGTTGTACAACCATGAGAACATGTTATGAACATTTGCAACCAACTCAAAGTGACGCAATGCGGAACAGCACACTTGAAGAAACCCTGCCAACCACTCCTACGGGCCATCACTACTAATATCATCGGAATTAATAGAGAGAAAAAAACACGCGCGTTCAAACAAAACTCGATACTGTTACCTAGAATATAAGACGGATAGTTGGATATGTGGAGATCAAGGAACCGCCATCCTTGGTGGACGACTGTGTCCTTTTCGTACGGATACTTAGCGAGAACGTTTATACCAAAGGAAAGCAACGCAAGGATGTCCGGGTACGGATTCCCGTTGGTACCAAACGAGAATAATGTTAGGAACATCAGGAAAAATGAGATTACGCAGAACTCCGAAAACGGAACCCACTGTGTCGCTATAAATGGGTACAGGAATAAATTAATAAACAGCGCCACGAAGAACTGCATGAAAGGACCTAAGTTATTTCGAACAAAGAGATTCTCAGACTCGTCCGGTTGTAAGTTACCGTCGCTGTACCTCAAGAACAGTCCGGACCATTTACGAAAGTCTATGAACTGGCGCTTCGCGTGCAACATTTTGAAGGTACATATGATCATAGCTACAAAACTAACGTAGTACAACACTAATGGCACCAAATGGTACAAATTGTCTGCGCTGACAGACAAATAGGCTACAAGTAATAATGAGAGCTCTATATTTGACAGTCTGAACGAGAATGAACCGAAGTAGTATAACAGTTTGAGGTATAGCACTTGTAAGAAGACTAGGGGATGTAAAAAGGCCTGATGAAGAATGGGTATGTGATCTAGTGCCTTGATGCTGGGGTCAGTTAGGGTCAGTTCGTAGCTGACCAGCGGTAATTCGCCTTGGCAGTAGTCGACTGCGGCTGTGACTAAATTATCAACTGTGAGGTTCCGGATTTCTTCATTGGGGCCACATGTGTCAGGGTAATCTGAAAAATGATATAAATATATAGAGTATAATCGAAATGAATTATTAAGTTTGATATTTTGAAAATAGCAACATTGAATCCATGATTTCGATATTTCAACAGTATTAGTATCAACAAATATTACTATGGACTGTGCTTAGAGGAATTGTTCAATATGATGCCCACGGCCATTTTCTACCGTCGTACGGCCTGCCAACGACTGGGAGTTTACCTTCACCCCTACAGCTTAAATGGTCGCGTACAACGCGGTTTCAGAGATGTTTTCTCCAACGAACAAACAGGTTATGAAATGAGCTCCCTGTCGAAGTTTTATCAAGAGACTACAGCATTGGGTTCTACAAAAGGAGGGTAAAGAGGTTTCTTCAGGGTCGGCAATGCGCGTGTAATACCTTTGGCATTGCAGGCGTTCATAGGCTACGGTAACCGCTTACCGGGTGAGCCATATACTTGTTTGCCACCTCAGTGCTATAAAAAAATTACTGTCTCACTCGTGTTTCTGCAGCTAATAAGCTGTGCTTGGCTGTGTTTCAGTTTAATAGGAGGAATATGGTAGGGAAATTACCAGGTATAGAGGCATAATGTTTTAGCTCTCAGGAATGGTAATGAATGTGCTGACCGTGGTATTGTTCATATCTATAGTTGACTTACCACTTCCCATCAGGTTGTCTTCAACCTTATATTTTTTTGTACCATATATTTGTTAGTCATTCTATATTATATAAAAAATAGTACTTTGTGCAAGTGCAGGAAGCAAGTGATGATGAGTCTTTGGCACTCAGTTGTCTCTGCTTATTCCGCAAGGGATTTGGCGTGAAGATACATAAATAGATATAGGTAGTACCTTGAGTGTCTGTGTTTGCAGCACTAAGAACACCATTGGTACGAGCGTGGTCACCGCCTTGTAGAGGCTCCACGGGATCAAGCGGCTCCAGGGCCTGCTCACCAAGCGGCTGCGCATCCTCTACACCTGCAAGTAATCACAACTACGTATATATATAACTAGGTTATGAATATGAGCAAAGCACCTATAAAAACTTTGCCAACAAACTGCTTCACAGTTTACCAAGTTTTAAACAATAGTAAATACTGTATGCATTTTAATAAAATTTTATTAACTACTAGCGACCCGCCCCGGCTTCGCACGGGTGCAATACAGTACCGCCGCACCGCTTTGCCCCTGCATTTTAAATCTGTTATACCTTCGGAAATATTAATTTAAATTACATGTATTTAAGGTACTTATTTAGATAAAAAATTATGCTGTATTGCTTAAAATCACTTCGAAAATAAGCCATTTTTTCCCGTAAAATGTAAAGGATAAAAAATGGTTATTGTGGGTTATCTTTAAGAGATAGACATACAAGAGTGTACAATACTGTAGTACATTATTTTGATTTATGTAGTGGGGTTCAGTCAGTTTGCAATGTAAGCTCAAAAAAATGTGTTTATTTACGACATCATATTAGAAACCTCTAGTTTTAAAGATTTATGCATATATAGGGACAGACAGAAAGACAGCGACAGCGACTTTGTTTTATACTATGTAGTGATATGAAAAACATATTTTAAACACACAATCAATCATGTCGTGACCACGTTGTGAAACGTCGGCAATAAAGAAACAGTTACGTAGGTACTATATGTATGTAGATAATAATGTACTTCTTAGAAGCTACAACAATGTTGACCCATGTCTAATGACAATGATATATGGAAGTTAGAAGCGGGTTACGCCGCGGGAAGCGGCTAGTTTTCAATATGTCAGACACTTAATTTGATAACAAAACGTTACCTGGTGCCTCGTCGTCGGGCGAGTCTGCATCGTCCGGTTCTTTCCGTAGCGTTGTGTTGCATATCTCACGGATCCGACGCTCCAGCTGCGCCGTAGTTATATACTGCTCGCCGTTGGACAAACTACAACAAACATGATTTATCTTCATATCTCATCTTTACTTTTTTTATTTATTCAAACTTCAATGCACAATTATATAAGTGTACATATGGCGGACTTAACACCTAACGGCGTTAGTTATATATGTACATGTATATGTGTATATATATATATATATATATATATATATATATATATATATATATATATATATATATATATATATATATATATATATATATATATATATATATATATATATATATATATATATATATATAATGGTAAGATATACTTACAATCATATTTGAATTCTTCTAATTTAATTAAAAAAATTGTATAAGTTTAAATTATTGCAATGTATAATTATATATTAAATAGTTTATTTATGCAACTTACAATGGCAAACAATACGCATGAGCAGTACCATGGACATAACAGAGTAATCTGTTTCGCCCATGATACCCCCCATGCGTTGCCATTCCTGAAGACTCAAGTGTTATCCCTCTGTACCCTGTAAATTCACTACAAAGCGAAACACTGCCATGCAAAACACAACTGCTTCACAGTAGAAACGAATGGGACAGAGGTGCCCAAGCAAACGACTTTTGTACAGTCTTCCTCTGGTTAAACAAATCTAAAAATTTTCTATAAGTGCAGTTTATATTTTAAAATGTTCACTCTTTTATCTTTACTGTACTACTGATCTATATAGTATTTAAAAAAAAATACACAAAGCTATTAAACTAATTATATAAATAACATTTTAATTTTGTAATAAATGCGTATTCTTCTATTGTCATAGAAGGCATAGAGGTGGGCGCGATCGGATGGTGCCCGAGAGCGTTATGATCCATAGGGGCTCCGAGAAGATAAGCAGCAGGATTAGTAAAGAATTGCATGAAATTTTGTGTCGACTTAGGAGTGAACAACGTGAATCTCGAAGACCTATTTTCGTCGTCAATTCGGTAGGGGCATTGGCCAGTGACGCCAGGTACAGTGAGGTCTCCTAATTCAATATTGCTTGGTTAGAATACCTCTGTGGTAATCAAAAGTGTGTTTTACTATTTTACATTAATTTTTTTTTTGCTTATTATCTATTCTATAGTATATATTATACTATAGAGGGCAAAAGAGGAAGAGGAAGACCGAGGATTAACTACATGGGACAGATAAAGGAAACACTAGGCGTCATGTCGTATAGGGAGATAAAGGATATGGCCTGGGATAGAGCTGGCTGGAGGAAGATGCATGAATTAGTTGCACCGATAAGAGGAAACTATTAAATGAAAATGAATGAGTATATATTATGGTATATACCTACTATATTACATAAAAATAATAATATTCAGCACATTGAGTCATTTCAAGTGGTGATGATATATCTCGTCATTTGGTGTCACTTCCTGATTTAAATATTTAAATAAGTATATGAAAAATAGAAATATCAGTTAAACAAAATTAATAACACACTTTAACAGAAAGTAAAGTGTGTCAATGTTTACACAAGTGTTATTCGGATGTCACTAATTTTATTAAAGCTTGACATCAATAAATTTGATTGGATAGGGCACCACCTCCTTAAAATATGTACGTTTATGTCCGGAGCACACACAATGATATGATACGATTCATTTATTTTATTGTCTTTCACATTTTACAATTATTATATGTTGATATCTTGACTAGCTTTTAACCGCGACTTTATCCATGTGACCAGGGTTATGTTGATTGCCTGGGATGAAAATCTCCTATTATCTCCTACTCCGGCCATTTTTAGCCGGTTTGCTGTATCGCTATCATATAATCACGTACCTTGCGAAGAGATCTCTTGCTGCCTTCCTGGCGACGGTCTCCTGTCTGCTGGCCGCCAGACACGACTTGGCGCGCACAATTGCCGCGCTGTCCTCGTCGATCACTCCGCTTCTGATGCACCTGTCGATGTTCGAAACATTTTTTATAAACTAACATTCTAACAAAGCATAATACACCAATACATGGCAAACACATAAAGAAGAATTAACAAGAAGAATTATGAAATAATTGATAAATGTGGAAGAAGTGAAAGAGGTTTGTTTGAATCGAAGCATTTGGCGTTCCATTGTTTCTGCTTACCCTAATGGGAGACAGGCGTGACAGATATGTATATATGTATGTAAGAATTAACAAGAAGAATAAGGATTATTTTATTTTATAGCTCTACTCCAAGCGGCATAGCCAGCATATTAATATTAGGCTACAAAAATCTCTAAGATATATCGTGTCAATTTGATGATTACCACATAATCTTTCATTATACCATATATGGTGAGTTCGCTAATACTCCGAACAGACACAATTACCATTTCAGTCGTTTAATTTTCATTCATAAAAATAAAAAAAAAAAATACTAGATTCGCATTGAAAACATGTGAAAAGATTGAAAAATTGCCAGCAATATAAAGTCAGATCGACCTCAACGCAATATTTCTTGGATACCTTCGTGGTTACTTCCTCGTGAATTTGTCACAATGGGCCAACTGATCTAGCTTTATCTTCGTCTAATGTCCCTCACTAGTACCTCGCCAGCGTAAATCGAATAACACAGAATAAACAGGGATATTATCACCCACAAAAATTACATACATTGAACGCCGTAACTCCTGGCAAACTCTATCCCATTTTATTTTCCAGAGAGCAAAGTCATCAATATTTACATGCATCGATGAAGTTTTGAGAGATAATAAAACAGATGGACGCCCTAAGTCAACCGGTGACCGATGACAAATTCTAAATGGATCAATGTTTATGTTTACCTTACCAGAGAATGTCAATTCTAAACATTACCTCATATCATTATGTGGAATCACGATGTTTTTGTCGCATATCTTCAACAATAACGTTTTATGCAACTGTCTATGCTTTATGAACATTTTTTTTTTGTATATGTCAACAATTTTTCGACCAGTGTAAGAACTTTTTAATTTTTGTTAAAGGTTTTATAACTGTATAGGTATTTATAGAGAGAGAGAGAGAGAGAGAAAATGTAATATATACAGTTAAATTGAATTCGTTAGTAAAAATCTACCTACTATTGAATATATTAACACAATATAAAAAAAAATTATGCACCTCCATACGAACTGATTGTTTGTCAGTATGGGAGGCTAAAAATATTTAGTCGTTTTTCTTTTGTGAAAATATGTGGTAGAACACTCCCTTAAAAGTATACTAAAGACTTTGATTCCAACCTGTTATGTATTTAAAATTTTTTAAAAATAGGTTGAGCCTTTAATGTTACAATAACTAGTTTTTTTCTTTATGGAAAATATAATATTAGTCACGGATAACCTATTCAACACTAAGAAATATTATAATTAATTTCTATTGCCTTACCTCCTTATCCATAAAAACTAAAACCTAATTTAACTACTACATAGTTTTGTCACTTTTATTCAAACTGAGAATTTAATGCAAAAGAAAGAGACAAAACAGCTCAATAACTATAATAGATTTAACGTTTTTATGAATAAGGGGGTTAAAATATTAATTGTACTTTATATTATATAAATTTATTCAACATTAACTAAAAGATAAAAAAGTTTACTCCATACCTATAATTTATTTAAATCATACTTATATTAAGTGTACATATGAGTAAAGTTCTATTATTTATGTGAAGACCTTTATACACAACAAATGTGGACTAAACTCTTTTATCACCCTATTCTCACATAAGTAAAGATTACAATGTTAAAAATATGCAGTGGGATTTTTCTGCAAATTGTCAAATGCTTGGTTAGATATTTAGAAGTAATAAAATAATTTAAAAAAAATTAGGTACCTTCTCAACATTCTCCTGGCCTCTGGATGAGCTTGTTCAGTAGCACATATCAGCCATTCCAAGGCCTGTTTAAAGTTTGATATTTTATCTGCTTCTAATTCTGAAAATAAAATTAATGCTACAGTTTAAGCAAACAGTTTAAAATCATTTGACAACATTTTTGTTACACAGACCACCAACTGTTTGAACTCCAATAAATAGTAGAGATCTTTTTCAAATAAAACATGTATAGATTTATTGTTCAAATTGTAGCTATACTCAGGCCGCGGATTATCGTGTTGCGCCTTTGTCATTTTTTTAACTTTTACTTTCTGGACCATTTCAGGTTCCTCCAGAGACCACCAGTAGTCTACAGACCTCTGATTAAGTACATCTGAGTTACATGATTATAAAACTATATATAAGATTTTCACTAATATCTTTAACTTATTTTTTTATATTCAACAATGTTGCTTATTTGTATTGGTCTGAATATTTTCTGTATGTTATTATTTGTATGTACAAAAAATATAAAAATATGTCTATTGGTGTCTTTAAATACTACCCCCTTCTTACTATCATACTTAGTTATGCCTCTTTCTTCAGAAGGCTTTTAAAAATAGTAAATAATAAATGTTTATTAAAGGATTTAGATCATGAGATGTAACAACAAAGCAAGAATATCTTTCATTGTCAAATAGTTTGACATATTTTCTATCTCTGTCTATATTAGGGTGCAATTATATTCAAATGTCATACCACATTTTTCTTCTAATAACTGCTTGGCTAACACAACTTGAGATTCGGCACACCCATCCTCAGCCAACTGGTTACGCAGCCTTCTCAAGGAGCCTTGCGGCCCATCTGATGAGAGATAAACTTTAAAAAGTGTCATGTTTACTTGAATATAGATAAAACTTGGAATTACATTCAGATAAAGTCATACATATCTATATAAAAAATTCTAGATAATTTTTTTTTAATTAAAATTAGCACTAAAATTGGTTGGTTGCTGTAAATATAAAGTCCATGTCTATTCACTCTATGACATTCCATACATACATACATATCTGTCACGCCTGTCTTCCATTAGGGTAGGCAGAAACAATGGAACGCCAAATGCTTCGATTCAAACAAACATTCCATTTTTATATAATTTATAATTTTACTACAAATGTCAGATAATTAGAAATTAGTATATTATTTGATTAGATGCACTATATTTTCAATGGGTTCTTTTGTATATCAATCAAATAATATAATATCAATGTGCGATATTTAGTAAAGTATAAATTTCATACAAACATAAATTACAATAACAAATTTATAAGTAATTTTAATCTATATATTAAGATTAGTTGTCCATGTAATAATTAAATACGAGTATACCTTAGTTAACACATTAATTAAATTTTAATTATTATATTTTATTGTTTTTAGACTATATTAGTTCTATTTGTCATATTTAAATAATACAAATAGTTACCTACTTGACAGGTTTATAAATTAAATATACCTATTTAAATAAACAAATAAACTTTAGTTTTTCGTTAAAATATTTATACGTTCTTACTTACCAATAATTTTATTAGGTAATAAGCAGGTTTATTGAAATATAGATATCAAGGCTAAGGAAAGATATTCAAGTAACGATACTTACCATGAAGATTCCATCGTTTACGTCCAACTGGCATTATATTGTGAAGATAACAAATAGTAAATTATTTAATCAAAATTATAGATAGAAAAAATGTATCTCATGGATTGTAAACTATATATTAGAATAATTATTTTGAATGTTTTGATTTCTATCACAGGCGAATCTTCAATTTCGCGAATTGTCTTGTTTTCTTGTCAATCACACAAATTGTCAAATTAGACGTCAAGAAATTGCTTAATCGAAACGCAACTTTATTATGATTAAATAAATTATTTGAAAGAATAAACAGCTTTCTCCTGAGCACTAATTAACAACGAAATAAAATGACAGAAAATCTATTGAATACGTTTGAATGCTTACTATTATGTCTCCGCCTACGTAATACACCTACACGAATTATCGCTGCGAAGTGAAACGTATAGGTATTTCTCTAAAATGTAAATATAGACCATTTCTTTAAAAAGGACTTCCTTCCAAATGTTGCTTAAAATTTTAAACTACGCGTGTGGGAATGATCTATTTATTGCTTTACAGGAAGGGCATGAAAAGGGTTGATAAAAATAAATACAAATGATCTTAATATGTATCCACTATGAAATAACAAAACGCAATTTATCAGCAGGTAAATAAAGCTTTGATATTATATGTAATGCTGGAGTTTGTAAAGGTAACGTAGAGCCTAAGTGGAGAATATACGACTGACCAACAGACCTAACTTCAAGCTCGCCTATATTCATTCACGAGTACTCCAACACTGATAACATAAACGGAGTTATCATTTCCTTTTTATTTCATTAAAAAAGAACTCTTAAACAAACATAGGACGTGAAGGATTGGTTTGTAATGGAATATTAGTCCTCATTATCAGACTAGAGCTCCATACGGTAAAAATTAGTTAAGACTCTTAATAACATAAGACTTGCTTCAGACGGATATATAGTTCTCTAAAAGCATTTGTGAAGAACAGATTGTTACACTTCTTCACTCTTCTGGATATTAGGTTTACTTTACTTTTTGGGTTAATATCAACTACTGTTCCTGCACAATACATAATTTTATACTTGCATTTAGTTTGTTGTTTCTGTCTTGTCTTTAAACTACTTTAATTAAAACTTACTAATACTTTGAATAAAATTTTTAATGCTGTAGCTTGAAAATTTTAATTTTTTTTATACAACTTAGAATGACAAACAAGCCCACCTGATGGAAAGTGGTAACCGTCGCCTATAGATATGAGCAGTATCATGGACATAACAGAGTATACTGTTTCGCCTATGATACCCCCCATGCGTTGCCATTCCTGAGGACTCAGATGTTATTCCTCTGTACCCAGTAAATTCACGCCATATCCCATACTTCAAACCGAAACACAGCCATGCAGACACAACTGCTGTACGGATGAAATACGGATGAAATGGGACAGAGGTACCCAAGCAATCGACTTTTATACAAAGTCTTCCTCTGTAATGTAAAAAATGTACACTCTTACGTACACCATAAAGAATTACTAATATTTCGACGAGATCGTCATAGATATCATGAGGGATTGATATTTTTTAATGTTCTTCATAAAGAATTATATTTGGTCAAAGTTTATACTTTGTTGTTGTATGTTCTACGGGAGTTTGAAATAAAACCTAAAATACTGAAACCCCTTATAATTGACTTATAATCACCATCAAACTTTACACTAAAACTATATTGTATGAGATGGACATAGGAACATGAATGATAAAATAAAGTCGAGATAAAAATATATTTTCAAGTGTTATGGTCTTCTGAATTTGTACCCGTGGGACTATGGCATTTTCGGAATGAGGAAGGTGAATTAGAATTCGACGAGCTTGATGTATTATTTACAGAACCGCTAGCTACAGAATCGGGGCTTGACAGCTGTAAATGTCGAGCATTTCTTATTTTCTTTTTACGGCCACAATGCGGTGATTCATCTTGAGAATTTTCAGGAGAATATTCAACTTTCAATCTTTTTTGTAAGGTAATATTGTGCGACGATTGTTTCGGAGGTTCATATGGCAACGGATCAGTATAAACCTGATAAAAATCGCTTTGAGGAAATGAAAAGCGACGTATAACATTCAAAATATCAATCTTAGCATTAAGTTTCGCTTCATCGCTCATTTTCTTTAACGATTTTACTAATGAGATGCAAAAAGATCTGTCTTCGTCGTCGGCTTCCTCTTGGTCAGAGCTATTTTTAGGTTTTGGTTTTAAAACTTGTTCATGTTTTTCTATGGATGTGATTTTACCTTTTTTATTCCTTTTCAAGTTTTGTATTTTTTTATTTTTCCTTTGATACATAATAGTCTTTGATTTTTTACTTGTACTTGGAGTACTGTCTGATCCTTCCTCGTCCGTTTCCCGTTGAGACGCTCTGTCACCAGATGTTATACTATCAGAGTAATTAATAGTAGCTTTAAGAAATTGTAACTGTGTATAATATCTATATATTTTCTTTGTTTGTGTAGCTAGTCCACATTTTATTTTTTTCTGAATTTGAAATTCTCTTCGAAAATTATCTCGGATGTGCTTCCATTTGAGTTGAATATCCCTACCTAAAACAATATGTAAAATATGATTATTTTCTAACTTACTGTAGTACCAAATTGGTCAAAATTAAAAAAAAAGTTATTATTACTTTAGAACACTCCTTTATTAGCGAAGTGGCGACTCTACAGCATAAGTAATAATAATATGAGTCATCATCATCGTATCAGCTGTTATCTGCCCACTGACGAACATAGGCCTCCCACATAGACTATAAGAATTTATATTTAGAAAGGATTATAAGGAACGGGGCCATTCCTTATGACTGTTGTTGCTACTGTTGTTGTCAGTAGTTGCCACACTTGGTGGGCGGGTTTTTTTTGATGGGTGAAAATGGTATGGTAACCCCGCCTGCGCTGACGGGATACGCTAGCGGAGCACCAGTGACGGGTGATAGATGAGAATGAAAACAGGCCAGTTCGCCCATCATGATGAGTTCATCAGGAATAAACCATGATAGTTTCCAGGGAGAACCGCGAGGAGGTTGATCTGGTTGGATATATTGCTAGCAATAGGATTCTCAGTCTCCATTACTAACAATCCCTTTCTCTCCGAATCTCCCCGATAGGGGAAGACCTATGTTTAGTAGATGTGGGTGATCATGGACGGCGGTAGTCACTTACCATCAGGTGAGCCGCATGCTTGTTTGCCCCCTGTGTTGTAAAAAAAATATTATAGTTAACGGCTGATATGATGCTGACGATGTCTAGTTTAAATTAAGTTGGAAGTTAAAGATGATTAATGATAATCTTACTAAAAAATCTTATTAATATAATAATAGTGTAACTAAATGACGTCTGTACATAGGAAATATTTAAGAAAAATTAATATCAGAGATCTGATAAGATTCTGTTAACACGTACGAAGCAGCAGGCAAAAAGAAAGTGTGAAAAAAAAAGTTAGAAAAAACTAAATATTTAGAATATATGATAGATTAGTGTTTTATCATAATAATATCTTTCGTTCATGGTTAAGTAAATAAAAAGTTACGTTAATTTATACAGATGATATAAACAAATTAAGAAAGTTAAAGAACGCTATCTAATTTCAAATAATGAAACTATTACAATTTATGCGTGGTATTAAATAAAATTTATATTACAAAAATGACGTTGAAATCGTCTGTTATTTTGTCATTTGAAGAATTTTCTTAATTCTGACTATCACGCAGACGAAGACGCGAGAATGACTAACTTTTAGTTTAAATATTATAATTGGGGTTCTTCAAAAAACGGATAACAAAGTTTCGTCAGGGTCGGTAACGCGCGCGTATCATAAGGTGGGCCGTATGCTTGTTTGGCACCTTAATGGTTTAAAAAATTGTGTATTTATTATGAAAATATGGCAACACTTACATATAATATCTTTTTCTCTTTCGTCGATAGATTCCCAGTCTGGTATAATTTTTGAGCAGATTTCTAACCACATATCTTCCTTTCGACGCCTATTCGTATATTCTGGTAAAGATTTATCATATAATACTGGTCTCGACTTTATTTCTTGTATAAACTGTTCAACATCAATTGACGCCATATTTATGATTTTGAGTTTTAGTGCAAAATGTAATCACACAAAAAATAAACGCCAGCATCAGAACGCCACTAAACAACGAAGCGCTCGTTTTTTTGACGTTTCAAGGCTCTGCGTCAATACTAATTTCGTAGCGTTTTAAAAACGCTGTCAGTGTTGCCAACTCTCACTTAATTAAAATGTTTATTTGTATACAATTACAGAAAGTAATAGGAAAGCACTGGAGGGGGTTGTTGTGATTTTACGAAATAATACAATAAAGAATTATTTCCGTATCAACGTATATTCGATACCAATTTTAGACAACTGCAAAACAATAGAAGAACTATATTTAAATTAAGAACTATTTCTTTTTCACCCTCTCCTAATTTTTACGTTTACGTGAAAATTATAACAGATAAACATACATTTTACTATTACAATAAATGTCACACTTTTCACGTGACAGTTTAACTTTTTACGAATTAGCACAACTTAATACAAGTATTATTATATATAAGAAGTTACATTACTATAATGACAAAAAACAATATTAAATAACAAACTTAGCAAATACTTGAGATCAATAAACTTTTATGTTTGTTAAATTTTATTTTATTCAATGCTTTTGTAAATATATCTGCAATTTGTATTTCTGTTGGACAATAGGCAATGCTAAATTCATTATTTTGATACAACTCGTGTATATAATGATAACGAACGTCTATGTGCTTGGACTTCTTATTAAACACACCATTTTTAATTAATGCAATAGCGCTTTGATTGTCAATATGAAATGAAAGTTTTATATCAATATTCAGATCTTTAAGAAGAGATTTTATAAACATAGCCTCCTTACAATATTCAGCTGCAGATATAAATTCTGCTTCTGTAGAAGACAACGATACAATTGGCTGTCTTCTGGAGCACCATGAAATAGGACCACCTGACATCATTAAAACATAGCCCGTTGTACTACGCCTTGTTTTAAGATCGCTCGCATAATCTGAATCACAGAAAGCGGTAAGTTTTAGATCTGAACCGAATTTGTAGCACAAACCTTCTTCTAAAGTACCAGAAAGATATCTAAAAATTCTTTTTATGGCAATTATATCCTTCTTTTCAGGATTCTCCATACACCTACTAGCTTTACTAACAGCAAATGCTATATCTGGCCGAGTTCTGGTCGATAAATACAAGAGACTTCCTACGGCTTCTCTATAAGGATAATTTGATTTTTCTTCTCCATAGTACTCTATTTCTCCATCTGACTCTATTTCACCCTCTCCTACGGGTGTGGGAACTGGTTTACATTTATCCATATTAAACTTTTTTAAAAGTGTTTTTGTATATTCAGTTTGAGTCAAATGCCAACCTACTTCATTTACTTTTAACTCCATACCTAGATACAAAGAGGGTTCATTATAAGACGTAATCTCAAATTTCTCATTCAATTTACGATGCAATTGCGTTAATTCTTCTGTTTTACCAATTACTACTCCATCATCAACATAAATAGCTAATAAAATTGACGCATCTTGGTTTTTATATATACATGGCTCATTTTTTAATTGATTAAATCCTAATTCTTTTATTTTTTCATTGAACTTTTCATACCATCTTTTAGGAGACTGTCTAAGTCCGTATAATGACTTCAATAACTTACAAACTTTATTTTTTTGAATCATATTGTACTCCCTTAGGAATTTTCATGAAAACTTGCTCGTCTTCCCTTAAATTTCCATTAAGAAACGCTGTTTTTACATCGAACGTCATTAATTTGTAGTTCTTGGCTGCGGCTATAGCAAACAAAGTTTTAATAGCATTTTGAGATGCAACTGGACTAAATATATCATCATAATCTACCTCTTGTTGTTCATTTCCTCTAACTACTAGTCTGGCTTTATGTTTTCCGTTTTCTTTAATTCTGAACACCCATTTATTAGAAAGTATTTTATGTCCTTTCGTCTCAGTTTTATCTACTATTTTCCAAACATTATTTTCTTGTAAAGAATTCAGTTCACTTTCTATAGCCTTTTCCCATTGCTCTTTTTCAGAACTTTTCAATGCTTCTTCGTAAGTAAGCAAAACATAATCCTTATATTTTTCTGGTAATTTTTTAGTTCTTTTTGATGTTATTATTGTTTCTTCAGCCTCTCTTTGTCCCGTTTCTTCTAAAATTCTTTTCTCTGCCTCTTTTTCTTCTTGTGGTATTACTTCTTCAATTTGATCATCTTGGTTATTTGAGTAGACTTTTACATTAATAGTTTCAGGTTTTGTAATTATTTCGGTGTTTATATTTTTACTATTTCTTTTTACGAATGTGATATCTCTCGCAACTATAACTTTTCTATTAACATCGTCCCAAAGTCTGTATCCGTTATTTGTATATCCGATCATCCTATATTTTATTGCTCTGGTTTCCAATTTTTTAGTTGATGGCAATTTTTTAGCGAAGGCATCACACCCAAATTCACGAATATTCGAAAGATTTGGTAGCTTTCCATTCCATAGTTTGAAAGGAGTTTTATTATTTATAGACTCACTTGGTAGTCTATTGAGTAAATATACGCTACAATAAAGAGCTTCACCCCACATTTCTTTTTCCATTTCAGCCATAAACAGCAATGAACGTATTTTTTCATTTAAGGTTCTATTTAAACGTTCGGCTTTACCATTTAATTGAGGACAATATGGTATTGAGTAATCTAGTTTTATTCCTTTTTCCTTACAATACATTCTAAAATTATTTGAAGTATACTCACCACCATTGTCACAACGAACTGTCACAACTTTCAAGTTGGTTTCACGTTCTGCTTCTGCAATAAAATTCTTTAAACAAGTAGAAACCTCGCTTTTAAATTTTAGTAGAAAAACCTTAGTGTAATGGCTATAGTCATCCAAAACAGTTAAAAAATATCTATTACCATTCCACGTTTCCATCTCAAAAGGACCACAAACATCTGTATGTAATATTTCTAGTTTTCTGCTGGCTCTAGTTCTTACGGTATTGAAAGGCAGTCTAGTTTGTTTAGCTTTTATACATACTTCACAACTTGCCTTCATACCTTCCTCATTTTCTATTTTTACACCATCCGCTACATTAGGTAAAATTTTTAAAATATTCTCACCTGGATGTCCTAATTTTCTATGCCAATTTTCTGCAGAATTATCATTTTCCTTTAATAAATATACTTGTTCTTCTATTTTTACTTCTTTTTCTAATTTAACTACAAATAAACCTGAGTCTTCTTTCTTACCAGTTATTACTTTACCATTGCTGCGAATCTCTACACCATGTTTATTAAATAGAACGGAACCACCATTCCTAACAATCTCTGGAACAGATAATAAATTACGCGAAAGATCCGGCACACATAATACATTTGTTACATCACATTTAGTTCCAATAAAATCACCTACATATTGTGACTTCATATTAACATCTTTCTTAGCTATACCAACATCAATAGTCTTAGGTTTGATATTAGAAAGTAAAGTTTTGTCATTGACCATATGTACAGTACAACCAGAGTCGAGAACAAAACTTTCTGACATTTTAATTGTATTACGGCTAGAGGCTAAAAAAAGCAACATTATTATCGTACTTATTTTTTCTAAAAAAACAATCTTTCTCTTTGTGGTTAGTTTTCTTACAAATTTTACAGTATAAAGAATTTTTACAAAATTTAGCTATATGACCGAACTTATTACATTTAAAACATCTATTAGAAGAATGTGAGGTTATTGTCTGACTATTATTACCTTCTTTTTTCGGCATTCTACCTTTATTTCCTGCAGCTAGGGCCACTGATTGCACACTCTCCTTCTTCCTTTCTTCTTCTTTTACTAATCTCAATCTTAAATCCTTTAACGTTCTTTCTTCTCTAGGAGTACTTTCCCACGCAGTAACAAACGGTTGGTATGATTCAATATTCGAAAAAATGTTTAATATTTTGGATTCTACTAACGCGTCATCAAAGGGCATTTTTAGTTGTTTTAATCTATGTACCAAATTTTCAAGCCTTGAGAAATTTTCATCCATTGTCATATCATTTTCAAATTTATAATTGTAGAAATCTTGTAACAAACTCATCTTTTTTCGTTCTTCCGATCCTTCGAATAAATCGCTTAGTACTTTATACATTTCATAAGCAGTCGTACAGTCAAATAGTTGTGTTTTATATTTTTTCGATACTGTTTGAAGGATGATGTGCTTAGTCAAAGCATCTTTATTCGATTGTTCGCTTTCTAGTTTTATATTTACGCTGTCTATATATTGTATCAATCCTTTCGCTTCCAGCAGAATCCTTAATTCGAATTTCCATAACTGAAATGATGTTACATCATCTAAAATAGTGACTCGGTGAATTTCTTCTGCTGTTGCGACGGCCATTTTCAGATTGAAATTTTTCTTTTTACTTTTACTTTTTACTTTTAATATATTTTTTTATTTCTTACTATATTTTATTTATTTTACGCGCAGAAACGCAAAAACTAGCCCATAACCTGTGATTTTACGAAATAATACAATAAAGAATTATTTCCGTATCAACGTATATTCGATACCAATTTTAGACAACTGCAAAACAATAGAAGAACTATATTTAAATTAAGAACTATTTCTTTTTCAGTTGTAAAGTAAATACTTATGGCAGAATGTAAAATTCTTGCGAAAACAATATCCTCTTTTCATCGTTAGTGATAAATAAAATACATATATTATATGCATTGCCTTTACTGTTATTATTATAACGTGATTATTACTCTGTGGTTATTATTATACTAAATAAAATTTATAACCTACCATAGTATTTTTTAAATGGATTTTGCAAATTTTACAGGATTTAACAAAATTATAGATACAATTATATATAATGTACTCTGTGAACTGTACTCAGGTTTTAGTATAAATCCGCAACACTTTGATAAAAAAAAAGCCTTGTAAAATACTATGCAACCTGTATATTGAATTTGACAATTTTACGCTTTAAAATAGCTAAAATTTTTGTATTATCTATCAATATAGATATTTTGATACTCCATATCAATAAATAGAGGCTTGATTAATACTATAATTATGTACTTACTTTATTGTGTTCATGTTTTGAGATGGTTGCATAACTAACCTAGTTTCGTTCACAGAAAAATAGTGTTGACTCCTAATAGTGAAACATAGAATACTTTACCTGCTATTGTATTATTCTGTTTCTTATATTTTTTACTTAACAAATTCACATTTTATATATTAGGTGTAAGTTTATTTTTCTAATGCAGTTTGAAATTATAATGCTCTAACGTATATATTGAATTTTTGAGTATGTGGCATTTGTTCTCAGTGAATTAATTGAAAGCCGTGATGGTAATTTGTTTGTAATTCTGCTACAGAGGTTATCTGATACAACAGGTTTCTAATCAAAATGCTAACTCCACGTTTTAAATTAACTCAAGACGACAATCACATTTACATTTGCGTTCATGCGCCGTATACTAATATTGGAGATACCGAAATCGATGTTGATGGCCATAATTTCCTGTTTGTCTCAAGTCCTTACTTCTTACGGCTCCGGCTTCCAGGTAGGATTATAGACAATGATCGCTCCAAAGGTTCTTACATTTGCGATTCCGGTGATTTCAACTTAACCTTCGATAAAGAGATTCCTGGAGAATATTTTGAAAACTTGGACATGATAACAAGTCTTTTAGCCCCTCGTGACATACCAGATGTAAACCCTAGTTTGGTAGAAATGCTTGAAGAAGATGGAATAACATTTGATGACAATGATAACAAGGATATTGGCGATAAATTCAGCTATGGTTTTGCTAATAAAGTAACTAAAGACTTTCTTGATATAGGGTCAGAATTTCCTCAGATATTTGAGTTGCATATTCCTGAGAGAGTTGCGGTTGATGAACGCCATACCTTAAGAATAGAACATGAAGACAGTAAGTTCTCATCAGATCATTATTTAGCGGATTATTTTGATGATGAGCTCCTGGCACCTTATTTATCTTCAACTACTTTTTGGGACTCTCCAGACTTTAATTCTTTAGACTTTACTGATGAGGAAGTTGGTGTATTGAAAGAATTGCCAAATAAAAATTATTTGTTAAGTCAAAATGAATATAAGCAAGTGCTGTATGGTCTTGTAGATATACTGTATGGATATTGTTATGATAAGAGAACAACACTAAATGAAAGCACTGTAGAATCCAGTTGGACCATAAATAAATTGTCATCAACATTGAGTTGGTTTTGTGCATTCAATAATATAAAGGAGACCCTAGTAACCTGTTACAGAAGGGCATTAATTTATCCCATATTTCGTAACTTTGAATTATGTGATAAAGTCAAACATGATTTAGTAACATTACTTAGGAAAGGAAAGAAATTTGTAATTAAATGCATTATTGATATTTACCAAATGTTTAACACGAGCAATGATGCTCGATATGTATTAAATCAATTGTACATAAAAGACTATTTAATATTCCTTCAAAAATGTCACAATGAGGAAATTGATGAATTATCTAATAACATAGCCAATATAGAAATTACAAAAAATGATTTAAATTTAGAATTGGATGAATTAGAATCTGCAGGTAAAATGGTTCAACAGGAGGAAAATGAAATAATGGAGAATGAGATGGCACTGAAGTTAGAATCAATGTCTTTATTACCAAAAAGAAACAAATATATTGTAAAAAGTGAATGTGATTCGGATTCTAGTAGTGGAACATTTGATTCTAGTAGTGATACTACCGATTCTAGTAGCGGTTCTACTGACTCATCGGACGAGTCTTCTGATGAGCTGGATTCTGATGATGATCCATTATAACAGTTTCATTTATAGTGTTCAAGTAAAGGCTTGTAATTATTTACGTATTTAGAAAAGCTCTAATAGATATCAATTGTATTCTGAGTTATATTACATTTACAGGCTATATGTGATGGCTCATAATAGAATCTTAAATCCTGAGGTATATGATACTTTTTAAGAATTAATCTATAAAAAGGTAAAATGAAGTGATTAGTTATAGTCACTAGCAAATAATTAGTGATAAAAACATAATGAAAATGTAACATTGTGATGCCACTGTGTTTTCTAGTTAATATGGGCTTGGCATTTAAATACATCTATCATAGATCAAGATATGTAGTTATTAAAAATCATTTGCAGCCAACTTCAAAATAGTTGGTGGTTCTTAATTCAGTTGTATTTTGTTTTACATTTGTTGCTGTATAACTTTGTTATTTATAAATCAGCTTAGAAAATTCTTTTTCAGAAATGGATGGATGAATCAGAAAGGATTCTTTCAGATTAGTCCTACAGAAATTTGATCAAGTTTAGCTTTAAAATAATAAGTGTTGCCATCAATGAAGTTGGCGCTTTTATTTTTTTTTGTTGAACAAAATATTAGATTATTAGATGGTTTGAAGAACAAACATTATTTTACCAACATTTTATAGTGAATTACAATCAGGATTTGGATATTTATACATAGTTGGAAGACAGGGCTAGAATGTTGCGTTATGAAGAAATCTTAAAATACATGCAGACACAAAGATGGGAACAAATATAATTGTAATAAGTAAATGATTAGAAGTTGCATTTTATAAATGTATAGTATGAATTTATTTCTTACAATTAGGTATATCTGAATACTTTTGTACTTAGTTTAACAAACTTTTTATATGTTTATATAGATATAAAACACAGTTGTAAGTATGTAATAAATCCTTATATATGCTAAAACTTTTATTATAACGTTATTATTAAATATGTGTACAACAGAAAATAATGTATTCATACTAATTGTAACCAAAACATTAATAATAAAGGAGATACATATTTATAATCCAAAATATAATTTGAGAGTATTATTTTTAAATGTAATCTATTAAAAGAGCTTTTTAAGCAATTAAAAGTATATATCTACATTTAAAAGTGGTGTTATAGATAAAAATACTGAGTCCCTTTGCGGAAAAAATCCACAGATACAGGTATTTTGTAAATTCAATTTCAAGTAATCTTTGTTATTAGTTGTAAAATCAAATGAGCATATTAATATATGTAACATTTTTATTAATTAACAGAAATAAAGACGACAATCACAATAATCAAGTAGATACAATATTAACTATTTATTTACTCTTACCTCTTACATAAATGCTTCTCAGTGCAGATTTACAAAAAAAATATTTATATAATAAAATTTACTATAATCTATGTGAATGAACAAATATGTTATTGTAGTAGGCACCTAATTTTAGTACTTATTGTATCTATGAGTTAAGCTTAGAATTAATATTAAAAACTGTTTCTACATCATTTTAAATTAACATTATAAATTATTTTTACATAAGAGCGCGCGGGGCTAGCTTCTACTTTGACCAAATCATTTTAACAGATTGAAAAATGGTATGTATTATTATTTTATTAAAAAACTATTGTAGATTGTTTTTTTTAATAAAATGAAATAAAAATCTGGGAAAGTAGTTTGGCTAGAAAGATTACTTTGGAATTCAGTTTGCTTTTTGGAAATATTCTTTGCTCTCTTTCGGATTTGGTTTGATGGTGTCAGCATTTGTCTCTGGATTCCAGTTGGCAGGACAAACTAGAAAAGAGAACAAAATTATGATTTTTATGACATTCTAAAACAAGGTAAATATAATACAAAATTATTAAATATTAAAATAAAATATTAAATTAAATAACATAAAAAACATAGCGAAATATAAATACTAGAAAATGGATCATCCATTTTCTAGTACTCTGTAGCATTTACAGTGATAAATGCCCTAATTGGTTTTGGCACTGTCAAAGATATTTATTAATTTCAAATAAATTTGGAATATTATTCATCATTATATAAGCCAGTCATCATCATATGTTCAGCAGTGGACATAAAATGTCCACTGATGAACATAGTCCACTTTTTCAGACTGTCATAAGGAATGGCCCTGAGTCACCTGCATCCACTTCTTTCTTCAATGCATTTAAGGTCTTTACTAAAGAAACTCCAAGCATAATCCTCTTCATAGTTTGCAACGCAGTTTATCATCTAGTAGCATCTAGATATAGTATCAGTTATGTAGTTGAGATATAAAACTATAATCACATGTTTATGTGTAGGTATATATATAGGTGACAGTTACTACTTTGTCATATTAAGTAGGTTATCATCTTGTATCTCTTTCAAAGCCATAAAAAAATATGCGACCTACCTTCACCATGTTTATCAGCAAATTGGAAGGCCTTCACCAGTCTGAGAGTTTCGTCAACCGATCTGCCGACTGGTAAGTCATTAATTGACATGTGTCTCAGTATACCATTTCTGTCTATGATGAATAGACCTGTAAAATAATAAATAGTAATGCCAAATATAGATGGAAATTTTGCATGGCTAGTTCGGACAAGTAAGAACAATGTGTTCCCACTCCCTATCCCCAGAAAGTAATGAGGAGAATCAAGTGCACATGTTTACTGTGTACATAAATGATGTTGTTTGTTTATAGGTAAACATTTACTATTTTCCATTTGGTTGTCAGTTATTAATTTCTTTACATAAACAGCTTAATAATTTAACAAACCAATGTAGGCAAGAGGAACATAATTTTATTATGTTTCTGTTACCCCAAACATGGAAAAAACAAAACTGAACATTTCTGTCTTGTTCTATTAATAACAACAAAAAAAATATCTGTTGGTAGGTTAGTTTGCGACTTATTTAGGAGGGTTTGTTGGTTTTCTTACATCATTAAAATTTTGTTTTTATTTTCTTTATAAATTATAATGTCTTACTTCAACTTACCACGGAGAGCAAATCCACCTTCAAGTAGAACATCATAATCTTGTGATATTGTCTTTTTATAATCAGCTAATAATGGAAAGTCTATTTTTCCTAGACCACCATCCTGTAAATAAATTAAATTATCTATGGTTAAATGTATGTATTTATTATGTATAGATACATCTAACCATAGACATTTTCATTCATAGAATGTCAAAAATTATTAAATGACTTATTCTGCAATATTGCAAAAGTGCTGTTTTTTTATAGATAGCTTTTTTAATAGGTGAAAATGGAATGGTAACTCCGCCTGTACTATTGGAATATGTTAGCGGGACACCAGTGGGAAATAATAGGCGAGGATGAAGGCAGGTTATAGCCCATCATGAAAATTCTACTAGAATTTACCATGATGGTTTCCAGGGGGAACCATGTAGAGGTTGACTTGATAAGGTATATTGCTAGCAATGAGGTTGTTAGGTCCCATTACTAACAATCCCCTTCCCCTCTATAGACACATACTGTTATAGGTAAAACTTTTTCAAAATCATTAATCATAAATGAATATAACTCATGCTTACTTTTCGCGGTGTATTAATCCAGGCTAAATGACTGAACTCAGAGTCTGTAGAAACACCAATAATCTGACAATCAATGCTGGCAAAGTCTTTGGCCCTTTCACTGAAAGCTACCAGCTCTGTTGGGCAAACAAATGTGCTGAAATGAGAATAAGTTGGTAATTAATGCAAGAGTTAATAAAAATTATAATGTATTTATTTCTGGTCAATTGATTAAAATATATGTAACTATTAAATTATTACTATAAAAAGAGCAGTGGTAGTAACAATAACTACATATAAAGAAATTATGAAGCTTTATAAATTGCCACTGAATTTTCAAGTAATTAGAGAAGACAATAGCATAGTTCCATTTAAATATCATGATCATATCAGCCTTTCACTGTCCACTGCTGAACATAAGCCTCCCTCTAGGGGGGTTTTATCAGTAGATGCCACCAGGGTGATTGGCAGTCAGGCTTTAGAGATGTTTAGGAGGGATACTGCTGCCTGTCTTTCGCCCTCCCTTAGTTGGATTTTCTGATATCCATGGGAAAGAAAGGGGAGGCTTATTCTATGCCAGAACTAAAAGGCATTTAAATGTATTCAGTGCAAATTAATATGTTAGTCAATACTAATTGTGTCTCGAGTGATAGTGCCTCTGTCTGGTGTCAAGTTTTTGGCAAGTTTTATTGGATATGAATGTGTATGATGTGTTTGCTAAAAAATTTAATTTATTTTGAGAAAGAGTTTTTACTTACAAATCTAATGGATAAAAGAATAACACAACATATTTTCCAGAAAAGTCTGACAACTTCAGTTGATTAAATTCTCCATTAACTACAGCAGTTGCAGCGAAGTCAGGAGCAGGTCTTTGGACTCTGGGCACAAAGGCGGCGCTAGCTGGAATTAAAAATTTTATGAAATTAATGATTTAATTTAAAAAAATAATAGTTTATAATTTTAAGCAAATTATTTCTAAAGTATATAATATCAAGAAAAAATATTCTTTTTCAATTTCATTTGTGTGTTTGTTTGTTGAGACTGTAGTTTATCTGGATAACTATATCAGTCTCATATTAAGGAAACTTTAATAGATTTAGAATTGTATTATGCAAAATTCACTATAAGATTGGTGTTTTGTTCACATTCCACAAATAAATATAAAATGTTTTAAAATATGAATATTTAATTGCTTTTAATTCCAATATACATAAGTGTTATGTTTTGATTCCAGGATTCAAGGAATTCACCTGGCATATCAAAGGTTGAGGGATAGATATGGTTTAAAAGTTGTCATTATTTATTGATCTGTAGCCAACAAAATATTTAAATTAAATTAAATCTTGAATACTTATTGGCAAAATTATTTGTTACCTTATCTAATCTTAATGCCACATTGTGAATACTTCATATAGAATGAACAATTTGATAACTTTTGAAAAAAAAAAACAAGATAGAATCAGCATAAACCTGCATTATTATGTGCCACTGCATATTTGTGATACTGAGCAATTAAATATTTAAATTATACATATTTAAATATACACAGTTTAAAGGGAGACTTTGTACAAAAGTCATTTGTTTGGGTATCTCTGTCCCATTCGTGTTTCTATTGTGAAGCAGAAAATATTTTTTTTAAAAATAATCTTTTTTCTTAAAATTCTAATTTGCATAAAAAAACACAGATACCCACATTGGGTATGTGGGTATATGTGTTTTTTTAAGTCCTGTTCGCAATTATGGGTATAATCTATTTGTAATCAAATCGATGAAAACAATGATGGATGTTTTGGTTTATATTGCTTATTTAATAAGAAGAATTAATTATATAGGTAACAAACAGATGGACATGGATGTGTAAGGTCTTATCAGTACTCAAAGAATGCAAACTGAACCTCTCAAACCGAAACATAACATACAGTTTCCTGTTAGGAATAGGCAAGACTGGCAAATCACACAAATCTAGTGCATAAGTCAAATGTTAATCCGCTATTAATTTATTTTATAGCGTAATTTAAAAAAGCCGAACATTCAAGAGGTTATGTAATAAAAAGTCATTTATTATAGAGTGAGCAATAGAGAAATAATAAAACATTTACTTGTTGAAAAATTTGTCTTCGTGGCTGTCGAAAGGGCCGGCGACAGTACCTGAGGTCACAAATAACGAAAATTATTACGATTACAAATTTTAGAGGTAGAATATTACAGATATTGCAATATTTAATAATGTAGTTTAGCACTCACTTTGCGAACTAATTGTTTCATTAAGAAAGACATTTCTTATTTTATTACTTAATTAGAAAGAATTAAATTTAACAAGATAAATATTTGCAATTTCTTAAATTATTGCGAATGACTATAGTATAATATATAAATAGGTAAGAAATAAAAAAAGGACTGATTAACTGTACATAGACTGACAGCCTAAACGTCAGTTCTTTTTGATGCAACTGTACTTCTCTTTTAGCGATTGACAGTAACTCCTCGTTGTTAGATTGACTCTGTAATCTATCCCTGTAATTTCGTGCTTTTTTTAATTCTAGTTCCGTAGGCGTAAACTTACCTAAATATCTAATTAGAGTTAAGTAATAAATCAAGGAGGACAGAACAACCGTCTCTCTCTTACACAGATATTTATTTTTATTACATATTTGTTTTTCCTTCAATCATGAAATGAAGTATGAATATTATATGCTGGAAACCATGATGATTAATTTTTGTCTACGTATTACCTATAACACTTTTATCCTGTTCTTCGTCATAAGCATATTTAAAATAAATTTTAAGTGGGTTTAGCTTCTTAAAATAACGCGCATGTACTTTAGACATGTCTTTTTAAAGTTTTATTCATATTCTGAGGTAGGCACCAGATAATTCCAGCGAGGGCCCTCCCCCTTCCTTTGAAATACATTTATGATCTTCATAGGAGAGAATATGAATTTATAAAAAAAAATAATATAAATCTGTTATAGGGTAACAAGCATAAAAAATGTAAAACCGAATTGAGAAACTTTTTCATATTTGAAATAGGTTGAAAGTATAATTATCCTAATGTACTTTGAAGGTAGGTAGGTAATTTGTCTCACTTGTACGCTGCAATGCAATATTGGAAAGCAATTAATCGAGCACCGTTCTCTTTAATTTCCTACGCGAGGAGTCGTTTGGATCCGTTGACTGACAGCTATTAGAAAATGATTGGTATCTAAGATAAGGTATCTTACTGTGATCGACTTGAATGGTTGCTGGATGTCAATTATTTAATCTGTGAATGTAATCTTATACGAAAATCCTTTTAAGTCGTTATTTCTTTGTAATTCTACTGTAGTGTCGAAAAGTTAACTATGGAGACAAGGAATTTAACAGTTAATTATCTTTTCAAATACCTGTTATTATTATGTGTATTCATTTAAACGTAATTTGGTACTTATGTGTAAAACAACATGGCCGTTAAATGTTAAAAAGTCCGTCCACGATCGACTAACATTAAGCACGTTTGTCTTCAAAGTAACCGTTAACTCGTAAATAGGCTTTATTTAACAAGTATTTTTTAATAAAACAAAATACATATCTTGTTTACTCTTTGTTACTTTAACATTTAAAGCTCATTTTCATAAAGAACCTATTAACTTTTTACAAACGATACTTTAGAACAAAAGTTTGTATTTACATCAGGTATTAAAATTATTAACTGCCCTGTTCTTTTTTTGGAAATAAATGAAGATTCCTACGTATATTCTTAATGAATAGCAAGATACATTAGACAAAAAGCCATGAATTGGCTACGATCCTATCCTTTAAAAGGTAGCGGCGAGTAGACACGGCTTACTAGGTACGCCAATAAGATTACCTAATTGAATGACCCAGATTGGACCTTCGGATTTTTGGGGATAAGTGCCTATTCAAAAGATTACTGGTTAATGTGCTTTTACTATTCTCATTATTATGAATTTCTCTGTATCGCTTTACAGTTTAATGAAAATATAGCAAAGTTGTTATTGGCATAAATACATTAATTTTTTATTTCATTAATGAATTAATACCATTTCATTTTTGGCGAATATTTGAGTGAATTTATTTGTAGGTATAATATGTAGGTTTATTTTTTTAAATGGATGATAGCAGAATGGTGACTCCGTCTATGTTATCGCTATATGCTGGCAGGACATTAGTAAAAGATAATTAGGTGAATGAAAGCAGGTCTGTAAGCTCACCGTGATGAACTTGTCAAGAATTAACCACGATGGTTTTCAGGGGAAATCGCGTAGAAGTCCACTTGACAGGATATATTGCTAGCAGTGGGGGCTCTTTTTTTTTGATGAATGAAAATGGAATAGTAACCCCGCCTGCACTAACGGGATACGCTGGCGGAGCACCAGTGAAGGGCGATAGACGAGAATGTACATCATGATGAATTCATCAGGAATTAACGATGATAGTTTCCAGGAAGAACTGTGAGGAGGTCGACCTGGTTGGATATATTGCTTGCAACGAAATTCTTAGTCTCCATTACTAACAATCCCTTTCCCGCAGTGGGGGCTCTAGTCGCCATTGTTAATAATCTCTTTCCCGTGCTAATAATATTACATTATATATTTATGATAACAAATATGTAAAAAAGATAGGACAAGCTTTTGTTTTTATTGCCTCACATCATTCGTTTTTTTATGAGTAGATTATAAACAATGTAGTCAGTCACCTAGTATAATTTTTGTCCAAATTCTAATTTTATCACAAACTAGCGACGCGCCCTGCCTTCGCACGGGTGCACATTACATCACGTCACATTGGAAACCTCTAAAATTATCAGTGTTTTTCTACTATATTATGCATGTATTGTACATATAAACCTTCCTCTTGAATAACTCTATCTATTAAGAAAACCGCAACAAAACCTTGTATAGTTTTAAAGATCTAAGCATACTTAGGGACAGACAGACGGGAAGCGACTTTGTTTTATACTATGTAGTGATTTAGTACATAATATTAACATCCTAATGGATAATTATGATAAAAGAAATATTTCAGCTAAAATTAGACATAATATGTTATGCTACGTTACGTTTTACATACAAACCCTATAGATATTTTCTCCTTTGGGGTTCTCAAAGTTGACTAAAAGAAATCCCTTTAACTGATAAGTTTGCTTGAGTAACTTGTCATTTTCTTTATAATCTAACATTTATATTAAACGAAACTGTATAATAAAGCTTATACAAATAAACAAACGAAATACATTAGATAGAGCTTTATAATGTCATGAAATTAGACAGGACAAAACTCATTAGGGCTTTACAATGTCGTGTAGTTAGAGACCTAAATAGATTTTGTTTTATTAGTACAAAGGAAAATCTATTACAAAACGCGATTCAGAAGTTAGACATGTTTTTGTAGGTCATATCAAAGTCAACGTCTTTGAAGCAATTCAATGTGGTTAGTTAAGCATCAAGAAGCAACTTTGATGGTTATTTCATTAAACTTTTTGATTAGGCCCGTTCATAAGCTTTGCTGTGCATATTATCATGTTTTCATTACAACGGATTTAATTGGTGGAAAAGTAGTAACGAAGTGTGATTTTCCATTGCTAGTAATCATCATCGTCAAATCAGCTTTTAACTATCCAATGCTGAACATAAACCTCCCCCCTAGGGGGGTTTTGCCAGTCATTGTTATGCTTGGCAGGCGGATTGGCAACCGCAGTTAGGCTCTGGAGATGTTTCAAGAGGGACGCTGCTGCCCATTTCTCGCCCTCTTAGTTGCCTTTTACGATACCCACGAGAAAGGAAGGGGTGGCCTATTCTATGCTGGGACCACACGGGACTAATAATATATCTACTTTATTTATATTAATCCATGTGGACCTCCTTGGAAACCATTGTAGTTAATTCCTGACATTTTAGATAGATAGATAAATAGATACTCTTTATTGTTTCTTCCAAATGACTACAATAGTAAACTTATTATAGATACAAACAATTAGTCACAGTGGGCCAACTAATTTGACTTTATCCACACTTATCGTTATTTACTGGTACCCTTCCAATGTATACTGACAGCGAGGGCTGGGTTACTATTTCGTTTTCATTTCTTAGAAAAAGCATTCTTTTTTACGGGTAGGTACTATGAATACGATCCGTTTCATGGTAAATGATTACCGTAGTCTATGAACGCTTGCTACAACAGAGGTATTATTCATTCGTTGCCGACTTCTACGACAAGAAGAGCTTGAGCAGTAATTTCATACAAACGTTAGTTGTCAGTAGAATTTGAATACATGCTGCAACTACATGTATTTTGCGTGTTAGTTTTTGGCTTTAAATTAGTTGCAAAAGAGTTAACTGTGTCAAAATTATTCAACATAGTAGATAATATAAGTGGCACAAAATTCTCTGGTCCTCAAGATATCTAATTTTGTGAGAATCTATACGATAAACGAATATCTGGAGGTATTTTTTGTTTCTTCTATGACAGAATTCAGAATACCAAGACTCATCTCAATTAAGAGAAGTTTCTTTTTAATTAGGCGCGAGAATCGAAATTCTACCTTATTTATATTAAGCCATAAGTAGCGTATTTACCTCTATACTATGGAGGTCGCTAAAGTAAAGAATTCCGCTATACCGTATACTCGTAGGTAGCTTATATTTGTTAAGTTAAGCAGATATTTTGTGGTCAATATTTGCATTATAACTTAGAATACACAGAAAAGGAACTCACTTGAACTTTGCCAAACTTCTATTACCTACATGAAAGTTTGTTCATAGTTTGCAGTTATTTGGCGAGATTATGGTATAACTTGAAACTTTGTTACATTTGCATTAAGACTATGACAAATATGGTTAGTTTTGTAGACCGCAAATTAAGCTGTTCCGCTGTGAATATTATGTTAGTCAACTGAATACTTTAGTAGAATATTTCGAATTACAATTAAAATGTGTTAGAAAGCTAATTAATATTGAAGCAGTATCTTATATTCTAAAAAAATATATGGAAAACCCTGCTTGAAATGTTTTCGTTTTGTTTAAGTGGTAACACTAGTGTAGTGAATCTGTGAAATGTATTCCATATATAAAATGTATCCGAAACATTATATAGAAATTATTTCGTAACTTCTTGTGGTAACAAGACCTACTCTTAGTTCTTTATACGGTGCTATTAGATAACATACTATTTTACTTAAAACTTTTTAGTTATTTGATAAGGGCGAGAAATGTGCTTCTTTGACATGGAGATTCAGTTCTTTTGTTAGCCCTGGTTCTTATCGATTTTTAAAAATATTCATTTCGACTGTATCTTAAGTGGCGTTCATTATTCTTGATATTCGATTTTTTATTCGAAAATGTTTACATCTTTCTAGTCCCATCCATAGACGTATTTAAAGAAGAAGGTGGTAGGGTGGGGAGATTCCATGC